TGTATAAAATACTGTGGAAACAGTGTGTGGTTAGGATTCTATGCTGAGGGATGGTAGGGTGCAGTACAATACAATTACCCTGGACTTGGAAACAAAGTGCTTAGTAGTTTTTATTTCAAGTTTTAAAAAAATCAGATTTTAAGTAATCCGTCGGGCCACTGATGAGCTTCTGGATTTTGAGAAGTTAAGGGTCGGATCATGGCTTGTGTCAACATGTTGCTTGATAAGTGCCACTGTGCCTCTAGGTATGGACGGAATGCAATCCTCTATAATATCCTCAGCCAGCAGGCTGTTGTCAAGCCACACTCCCAGTTCTCTCATCACAGCTGTACTGTCAAATCAAGAGGACGGTGTGTCTGAAGACTCCCCACATCACCTGTCCCACAGTCATTGAGGTACTCGTGAAGACGGTCAGTTTCATGCAGAATCTCCCTTCATTCCACATCTACCCAAAGAGGACCAGCTGTTGCTCCTGGGTCATGCTGGGCCCCTCTCTTCCTGCTGGGATTGGCTCAGGAGGGAGTGAATTTTGAGGTAGTTGAGATCCCAGTGCAAAGTTTGCTCAAAAGACTCCTATTGAATGGAAAAGAGCTACCTGGTGTGGTGGGAGCTGAGAGTACACAACCTTCCATAGCTGATGTGCAGAGAATAAAACTGTGCCTGAACAAGTTCTGGGATTTGGACCTAACACCCAAGGAGTTTGCTTACCTGAAGGGAGCTGTTCTCTTCAGTGCTGGTGAGTACTGGTGTTTATTCTGGTGCTGCCTATGCATGCAGGGCCTGCAGACCTTGATACAGATTTAAAGAACTTGCAGAAAGAGGTCATCTGGCCCTTGTGGTGCTGGTGCTTGTTCCTCCACTTAAATTGAGGAGCCATCTTTCGGATGAGATGTTAAACCTCAGTCCCATTTCTCTGTTTTTTGATGGGCAATAAAGATCCATGATTCTATTCAAAAAAGGGGAAGTGAGTTTCTTCCAGTGTCCTAGCCAACAAGCCCTCAAATACAATCGGTCATTCACTCCAGTCACGCTGTGTGCAAATTTGCTGTGGTATTCACCTACAAAATACAGAGTAATTATACAGACTTTTCAAAGATATGATGTTGGGCCACTGCTGTGCGCAATTGGCTGCCGCGTTTCACCCACGAAATATCCAGTCAATTCACTTTACAGTATATTCTGTGAAACGCTTTGAGACGTCTCGAAGACATAAGGTGCTATATCAAATACAATTGTTATTATTATTATTTAAGTGCATTATCAAATGCAAGGATTATTGTATATTATCTTTGATTGGTAAAGTCTCTATTTGCCTACAAATATGCAGTAGAAAGCAATTACCTGTGAAGCACTTTGACACTTTCAACATATAAAGACTGTGTAAAAGAGTATGTTTCGCCCACAAAATATACAATCAATTCACTTTCTAGTATAATCTGTGAAGTGCTGTGAAACGTCTCAAGATTGTGATAAGGTGCTATATCAAATGCGAGGATTATTATTATTAAAATGCAGGATAATTATTCTTATATTAATGTACTTTCCAGACCTGCCAGGACTACAAGCTACTCTATACGTCCAGAGCCTGCAAAGGGAAGCCCAGCGAGTGCTCCATGAGGTCCTAGTACCCCTCCAACCTAAGGATACAAGCCGCTTAGCCCCTATCTTACTCACTGTATCTGCACTGAGAACCATCAGCGCTGGTGTTGTCACTGAGCTCTTTTTCAGGCCTGTGATTGGGAGCACTGAAATAAACCAGCTGCTCATCCAGATGTTTTACACCAAGCAATGAAGAACGGGGGTGGGAGTGAGATCAACAGCTAGGGTACTGCTGCTTCTCTCATCTACTCCTTTTCCTCTGTGATTTTACCTCCTCCATTTTGTGAACAATTTGTTTTGTATTAATTTATTTTTTATCATAAATAAAAGTATTTTGCATATGTTGGGTATTACTGAGTAAGGAATTTAAATAAACCATTGCAATGAATTCAGAGACTTTAAAAATCAACACCGGCCACCTCGGCCGCTCTCCCTCTCCAAGCAGCAATGATTCTGCAACCAAATACAACATTGCTGTATCAAACTACACATTTTATTTTTTTATTAAAAAATACTTGCATTAGATATAGTAGCTTATGAAGTTATCAAAATACCTTAAGGGATTTTGCAGGAGTTACTACAAAGCATAGTGACTGTGTTTGTAAGTCAGACGTCAACAACAAAATTACCCTTATAGAGCGCCTTTCATGTCGGGAAGACATCCCAAAGCGCTGGATGAGAGCTAACCTTGTACAAGTCCCGACTCCACTGGCTTTCCCACCACACACAGGATACAGCTCAAGATCCTGGTCCTCGCCTTCCAAGCCTCCATGGCTTTGCTCCCCCTACCACCGCGACCTCCTGACCCACTTCCAACCTCTGCTCGGCGGGCTCCATCCTGCGACACATCCCCCGCCTCCATCCCCCCGCCTCGATCGCCCCACCATTGACGGGCGGGCCTTCTGGAGTCCTGTGGCTCAGTGGTTAGAGCACTCGCTTTGCAAGTGAGAGACCTGAGTTCAATTCCAGGTCAGGGCGAAACCTTGGGCAAGTTTCTTTACTCCACACAGAGCCTAATAATAATCCCTCCAAAACCCAAAACAATAATAAATTGGTCATTTTCAATCTACGACTGTTTGTGGGACATTGCTGTGCGCAATTGGCTGCCGCGTTTGCCCACAAATATACAGTCAATTCACTTTACAGTGTGTTCTGTGAAGCGCTTTGGGACGTCCTCCCGACGTGAAAAGCGCTATATCAAATGCAAGGATTATTATTATTATTATTATTATTCTGCCCACTCCGCCCCTGCCCGCTGGACCTTCATCCCGCAGTCCCTCCGCCTCTTCCCCTCCCGCCGTGCCTCCTTGAAGACCGCGCCTTCGGTCATCTTCATCCCCCGCTGCCCTCGACCCTCTCCGACCCCGACCCCCACCCCCCCCATGTCTCATCTGAAGGTTGGCACCACTGACAGCATAGCCGCTCCCCCAGCACTGCAATTCCCCTCTCGGGCATCGCTGGTATTTTATGTCAAGTATTTTACATCGTGTAGTTTTTTTTTTCAAAAATGTTGTCCAATACTCCAAGGTGCAAAGTTTTCGGACCTTGAGTTCAAAGGGTCTCACGACGCTGCCGGGAAAGAGAAACTAACGTACACCCCCAGCGATCGAGAGACAAGTTGCCAATTCGGCCCTGTTTGCCAGGATCAAAGATGGTACCGTTCAACCCCTCCCCTTCCGCCCCCGCCGGGCGAGCTGTGCGCATGTGCCGCCAGCGCTCCGCCAGGATCAAAGATGGCGGCGAGAGGCTGCGTCTGTCTGGCGGTCTGTGACATCCCGCGCGCCCTGCGCTCCGCCGACCTCAGGAATTACTTCTCGCAGTTCACAGAGAGCGGCGGCTTCGCGTGTTTCCACTATCGGCACCGACCGCAACCCCAGGCCCCGGGGCGGACCCGGTCCCGGGCTCAGGCGGCGGCGGCCTCCTCCTCCTGCTGCTGCTGCTGTGTGGTCAGCCTCCCCGCCCACAGGGCCTCGGCCTTCATCGACATGTACAGCGGCCGCCAGTGGGTGGACCGGGCCGGGTCCTGGCTGCGGAGTCGTTGCCTGGTTCGGAGGGTGAGAGCGGCAGAGGCGGCGGGTAACGTCGATTTTTTTTTAAAAAAAGCCGCGGAATTCATCGCTTCAGCCTTTCTCTTTGACCTTCAGCCTTCAGCTCCCCTCTCGACTCTCTTCCCCCTCCTCGCCCCCTCCCTTCCCTCCCCTCCCCCTGACCATTTCCCCCTCCTCGCCCCCTCCCTTCCCTCCCCTCACCCTGACCATTTCCCCCTCCTCGCTCCCTCCCTCCCTCCCCTCACCCTGACCATTTCCCCCCTCCTCGCTCCCTCCCTCCCCTCACCCTGATCATTTCCCCCTCCTCGCCCCTTCCCTCCCCTTACCCTCACCATTTCCCCCCTCCTCGCCCCCTCCCTTCCCTCCCCTCACCCTGACCATTTCCCCCCCTGCTGACCCAACTGTGCAGCGCCTCGGGACGTCCTCCTGACGTGAAAGGCGCTTTATAAATGGAATCTTGTTGTTGTTGTTGTTGTTGCTTGTGCGGCAGCAGAGGGGCGAACCGCTGCTGCTCCCTCAAGCTGTACCCCCGCCGCTGGCGGCCGGGAGCCGTCGTTCAGTGGGAAAGCGCCTCGGGACGTCCTCCCGACGTGAAAGGCTCTGTACAAAAAGTAATCTTGTTGTTGTTGTTGAAAGGGTTGTGTCCCTGAGCTGTGGTCACGAAGACGGTGACACGGAGTCTCTGTGGCTCAGTGGTTAGAGCTCTCGCTTTGCGAGCGAGAGACCTGAGTTCAATCCCAGGCAGAGGGCGAAACCTTGGGCAAGTTTCCTTACTCCACACAGAGCCTCATAATAATCCCTCCAAAACAAAACAATAATAAATTGGTCATTTTCAATCCACGACTGTTTGTGGGGACGCTGCTGTGCGCAATTGGCTGCCGCGTTTTGCCCACAAATATACGGTCAATTCACTTTACAGTATATTCTGTGAAGCGCTTCGGGACGTCGAGAAGCCGTGAAAAGCGCTGTATGAAAAGCAAGGATTATTATTATTATTATTTCATGGTGAGCTGTGTTGTCTACCGGGAAGCTCGCAGAGAGTTTGTGGTACCCATCCACCTAGTTAGGGCTCAAACCAGTGTTTGCCCGATGTCAAATGACCATTTAGTGAGTATCCTCCTTGGTGGGGAGGTAAGCGGAGTCTCCTTGGAACAGAACTGTCTCCAGGGTGACATGTTTAGCAACAGAATCTTCTGTGGTGATCTCAACAGTCCAGTTCCTGAGCCAGGGAGATCCCCAGAGCACTGCAAACGACAGCCCAGGTCAGCCTGGCTTATCCGCAGGACATGGAAAGGCAGACTGGTTTCTCCCCAGGGATTCTTGTTAATCCTGCAAGATACTCTTAAGCATGGTGATGGGTTTCCACGTGTGTTGAACACCCGGCTGAAGAAGAAAAATATTTAGATAGTTACAGTGACAGTTGTGACCGGGCAGCGGCTGGTGTATAATTTGATTGCTATCTTTGAGCAAAACCCAACTTTTAGTTGGGTTGAGTGTATTGCATTGGGAAGAATGGTGTTTCCTATTGCAGTTGTTACATCTCTGTTGTATGGAATTTTAAGTTGTTTCTCTTTGAATACACTTCTAAAAACATTTTTCATTCAAAATAGATTTGAACCTCTTCCCCTACAAAACTAAACTGGAGTTGCAGAATAAGAAGGCTCAGAGCGAGATCTTCACACAACACGATTTGTCCAGACTGCCAGAGTTGAATCCTCCTGCTCTGATGCCCAATGGGAATGTGGGAACACCAGTGAGAGTTTTCCTAGAGCTGATCCAGGCCTGCAGGCTGCCACCTCGCATCATCACAAAACTGGACTTAAAATTCCCTAAAACTAGCTCCAACAGACGTTATGGTAATGTACCATTCCAGTATGAGACCTCAGAACTGCTGGAACAAGAGGAATCTATTTACACAGCTACAGGAGAAGAGATCTCGGGGAGGAGTACATCATTTTTCCCACTCTGGCACAATGACAAGCGGGAAGAGGTGGAAAATGGCCATTTACCAGATAGCATAGAGCAGGAAGAGGAAAAAGGAGCTGAACCTCATTCGGACAATGTAAGCTTTTGACAGTGTGATTGAGCAGCGCTCTACCTCTGGATGACACCAAGTAAAGGGGAGGAAACCAACTTTGGCAATGTTACCAAACAGACTACAACAATAACTTGCATTTAAACAGTGCCCTTCAAGTAGATTAATGTCTCGGGAGAGCTTTACAAAATGGGGTTGGACGCTGAGCAAGGGGGAAGGTGGAGGTAGCCATAGGCACTGTCGAAGAGGTAGGTGTCAAGGCGAAATTAAAAACAGAAAGAGAGGGTGCAAGTTCCATATAGAATAGTGGCGTAGAAGCTGAAAGTTCGGCCAACGGTGGTGGTGTGAAGGGGCAGGGACATGCAGTAAGCCTGTCAGCTGAGCAGAGGGGGATAGGAGAGGATCAGAGATATAATGAGGTGTAGAACATGGGGGTTTGGTGAGAGATTAGAGTAGATATCACTAGTTGGGGAACGAGCAGTAGCACAGATATGAGAAGCTGAATTGTGTCTTGTGCTTTGAACATTCTATGATTCTACATACACACCATGGGACTTGATCTAGACATTGGAGTGAAGGAACCTCTGTGCTCTGGAATTTGGAATGATATTCAGACAGAGGGGATGGAGGTCTTTCCAAAATCTTTTGTTCATCCCACTGACTTGCTGTTTGATTCTCTTGTATTGTGTTCACTGGTGCAACAGGACGAAGATTCGTGCGAGGAGTGGGAGAGGCATGAGGCGTTGCACGAGGATGTCACAACGCAAGAACGCACAAAGGAGCGCTTGTTTGAAGAAGAGATTGAACTCAAGTGGGAGAAGGGAGGATCTGGCTTGGTATTTTATACTGACGCACAATATTGGCAGCAGGAAGAAGGAGGTAGGGCTTTTCAGACCTCAAGGGAGGGATGGATTCTGTGATGGGTCCTTATTATTATTATATTCTGTGACGTCACGCTAACGGTCTGTCACTGTCTTTCAGATTTCGATGAGGAAACTGCGGATGACTGGGATGTGGATATGAGCGTTTACTATGACAAAGGTATGAGCATGTGAAGTCCCTGTTGCATTTGAGTCTGCATGAATGGGTGGAATTAGTGACTGTTTTTCAATAATAGCCACCCTTCCTTCCCCCTTTGTTATGGGATGTCAAGAGATGGCCTGATTATGTGAGGGTCGGTGAAAGCATTATGCGCAGCCCAGCAATACCGTGAATTAGCCACATGTATATTAGGCTGGCGCATTGGTAGTGCTCTCGCTCTGAGTCAGAAGGATGTGGGTTCAAGCCCCATGTCGGGACTTGGAATCACTTAATCTAACATGATACACCAATGCAGAGCTGTGGGAGTGTTGCATTCTTGGAAGGTGCCATCCTTTGGATTAGACTTTTAAAACAAGGTCCCGTCTACCTGTTTAGATGGATGTTAAAGGTTCCATGACACTATTCAAAAAGAGAAGGGAGTTTCTCCCAGTGTCCTGTCCACAAATCCCCCAAATAAAATTGGTCACTTACTCATAGCTGAATATGAGAGATTGCTGCGCGCAAACTAGCTGCTGCATTTCGCCCACAAAATACCGAGTCAATCCACTTTACAGTATTTCTGTGAAGTGCTTTGAGGCATCTCAATTTCGTGATAAGGCGCTGTATCAAATGCAATAATATTAGGCCTTGCCAGCATTTCAAGGTGATTTGTTCATTGTGTGGCTGAGTGTTACTGATGCACTACTGGTACATCAATTATCCTTTTGTATTGTATATCAATGAAGTTTGTGTTAGCAAAACGGAGATGCAGTGAGTGTGACAGTTATGTAGGGATCACGTAGGCGGAACTGTAAGGGAATTGGGGGATTACAATATAATCCCTATATAAAAGCAGAGTGTGTGGAGGGAGATTAGAGTACCATCTGTGTGCTCTGTGACAATGTGAGTAGCTCTTGAATTTTCTGAACTGTCAACATGTTGAGACTGGGAAATGTGCAGGATTCATTGATATGATATATTCTACTCTGATTTTTGAGAAAGATTCCATTCCAATGGACACCATCCATATTTTGTGGTCAGTTCACACAAATACTTGAGTTAATGTTTTAAACTCTTGACAGGTGGAGGGGATAAAGATTCCCGGGATTATGTACAGATGAGGCTGGAGCAGCGTTTGAGAGAGGGTCTGGAATCTGGCTCTGTGCAGACCTTGCGTATTGGGAGCTTTGAAAAATACACAAAGGTAAGGGTGTACACTGTTCCTGAATGTGTCTCACACACTGAGTATTTATACCAGTTGGCTGTGTCGGTGACACTCATACACTGCAGTATCTGTCCTTCTTTTCCAGGGTTTTGGCAGGAAGGAAATGGAAAAACAGGGATGGACAGAGGGTCTTGGCCTAGGCTCCAGTAGCTCAGGGATGGCTGATGCTTTGGAAAACGATGGACAGCATCCAAAGTGTAAACGTGGACTGGGGTATGTAATGTCTGAGCGGGACTCAAGGTGATTACAGTGAATGAGTATTTAGGGGCAGAATGTTTGTAACAATGTGAGTAGTTCTTGAATGCTCCAAACTGTCAATGTATTGAATGTTGTGCCTGGGAGAGGCTACATCTCTATAGGCGCTGGATTCTTAGCCCTCTTCGATATACCTTATTCTACTCTGATTCCTGAAATAAAAGAGTCCATCCCAATGGATAAGCCTTGTACCACACAATTCTGTCTCACTGAGAACTCTGCTTTTACTTATTCTTGACTGAAAATGTTGCGTTTGTTGTACAGGTACCACGGAGAAAAACTCCAGAGATACCAACCAGCAAAGAGGCTGCGCAGAGAAACCAGTCACATAATTTCAACTATTTACGACCAGCCTGAGAGTATTGATCAGGGCGACACGTTGCTTCGGAGGCAGCCGGTGACCAGCATGAAATACAGAGAGGATGTTGCCTTTGTAAAGGGTTCACATGTCACACATCACTCAGTCGCATTGTAGTGAGAAACTGCCAGCCCTACAGCACCGTCACCAGAGATCAATCGTCATTCAAAATAAAATCTTAATTCTTGTGATTTGTTAATTCTTCTCTTTTTGTTGGAATTGTTCTGTTACAACTTTCTCCCCCAAACACGTTTCTAATTTTTTTATACACTGGAGGTACATTCTGTGGGTACCAGTGCCTCTGGCACCCTGGAAAAAATTTTCATGTCTGTGTCTTGACCATGAAGATTGAATTCTATTAGTTCATGGGGGCATCATGCCGATGATTCTGTTCTCCACCTGATGTGTACCTGCACCTGGAGTGAGGGAGTCCAGTGATCAGGAGTGGGAATCCTTGCTAATTTGACCTCTCACTAGCTCGGCCTGACTCCTGCCCTGTTTCAGAACAGTTCCTCTGCACAGACCAGAATTTGACCCTGGGATGGCTTTGTGCTCAACCTGGAGACACTACACATCTACTCATCGGAATGCTGATATCTATTTAAGACTGAATGACACTCTTTCTATTTGGAGAACAGTAAACTGGCAGCAACACTGATTGTTTAAGGACGTGTAATTTTTTGCTGTACATGAAAAAAACAATTTGTATAAACTTGCGGAATAGTGTATTTATTTAATTATCGGGGGACCGTGGGATAGCTGGATCCTTCGCGTCAATGCACAGCTCCCAACTGATTCTGATGCCTTCAGGCGTGTTCACCTGAAGCCAAAGCAGACCATAGGCCCCCACCCCGCGTCACACGGTAGTGTTCCAGTGCATTTGTGAGCACAGGACAGCCTGTGATCACCTGTTAATAATAATAATAATCCTTGCATTTGATATAGCACTTTTCACTTAGGGAGGACGTCCCAAAGCGCTTCACAGAACACACTGTAAAGTGAATTGACTATATTTGTGGGCAAACGCGGCAGCCAATTGCGCACAGCAATGTCCCGCAAACAGTCGTAGATTGAAAATGACCAATTTTTATTATTGCTTTTGGCTTGGGAGGGATTATTATTAGGCTCTGTGTGGAGTAAGGAAACTTGCCCAAGGTTTCGCCCTCTGCCTGGAATTGAACTCAGGTGTCTCACTTGCAAAGCGAGTGCTCTAACCACTGAGCTACAGGACTCCACGAGGTCTGTTGTCCCGGACCTGATGCTCCAAGAGGAGGGGAGAGCGGCTGCCTGAACCAATTACCCCCAAGGCACTGCAGATGAACAGCACAGCCCTTCCAACAGGACGTGGAAGGGCAGAGACCGGTCACTGGAGGCCAAAGCTCTTTAACGGGTCGGGTGGTCCTGGCTGGACAAGCAGCGGGAAGGCTGGCCAGACAGCGATATCGACGACAAGCCTCGCGGTGTGAGTTGGTTAAGACTCCCAGAAGTTGCTCCCGACGCTCCCCCCCCCCCCCACCCTAACCACCCCACCCACCCCCCCAAGATTCTCGGCTCTTGCCAACCTTGCGCCTCATACTTTCCGGAACTAACTAAGCAGGACGCCTCTCCCCCGGGGGGGGGGGAGAGAGAGAGAGAGAAGAGAGCGCACATTCCCCTCCGAGAACCTCTCCGGAGTTTCCCGGTGTGGGTGGGGGACGCCTTGAGCCACGGCGGAGGTGGGCGGGCGGGTCCCGCACGTGTCTTGACACAAGTCTCTGACACCCCACCCCACCCACCACCCCACACCCACCCCCACTCCCCGCCCACCCACCACCCCCACTCCCCGCCACCCCCCACCCCAGCCCACTCCCCGCCCACCCCACTCCCCCCACCCCACCCACCACCCCCACTCCCACCACCCCCACTCCCCGCCCACCCACCACCCCACTCCCCGCCCACCCCCCACCCCCGCCCACTCCCCGCCCACCCCACTCCCCGCCCACCCCCACTCCCACCACCCCACTCCCCGCCCACCCACCACCCCCACACCCCCGCCCACCCCCACTCCCAGCCCACTCCCCGCCCACCCCCGCCCACCCACCCCCACCCACCCCACTCCCCCCCCCCCCCACCCCCACCACCACACACAAAAAAAAGGAAGAAATTACAGTTAACTTTTTACAGAACAAACAAACAAACAAACAACAACAACAAGAAGGGGAGGAGGAGGCGGGGGGGGGGCTGAGGGGGCGGCGCCGCGCATGCTCAGTGCGCCCCGGGCAGCCTCGGGCCTACAGCGGGTTGGCGGAGCCGCGCCGTCCGGTAGGTGTTGATCGCCCGTGAAGCGGCAGAGAGGGAGACACACACACACACACACGCGCGCGCTCTCCCTCTCTCTCTCTCTCTACCCGGGGGTCCGGGAGGGGGGATCGGTCGGGGGCTCGAGCTCCTGATGCCGCCGCCGCTGGTGGTGGTGGTGGTGGTGGTTCAGGCGGCCCGAGGGCTCAGCGTGATCCGGGAGCCGGGGGGGGGGGGTCAGTGTGGCCCAGGGCCGGGGGGGGGGTCAGTGTGGCCCAGGGGCCGGGGGGGGTCAGTGTGGCCCAGGGGCCGGGGGGGGGTCAGTGTGGCCAGGGGCCGGGGGGGGGGTCAGTGTGGCCCGCGGGCCGGGGGGGGTCAGTGTGGCCCAGGGGCCGGGGCCGGGGCTCAGTGTGGCCGGGGGCCGGGTGTGGCCCGCGGGCCGGGTGTGGCCCGGTAGCCAGGGGTTCAGTGTGAGCCGGAGTACGCGTCTGATCTCTCTCTCTCTCTCTCTGCCCCTCAGGTCAGTGCTGTGCTGTTGGCGATGAGTTACTAGCGTTGTTGTGTCATGGTGTCTGTGGAGCCCAGGGCTCCTGGCCTGGCCTTTGGCCAGGTGGTCATCGGCCCACCAGGCTCAGGGAAGACCACTTACTGCTCGGGGATGCAGGAGTTTCTCTCTAAGATGGGCCGCAAGGTAGCAGTGGTGAACCTGGACCCGGCCAATGACAGAATCCCCTATCAGTGCAGCGTGGACATTGCTGAGTTGGTGACTCTGGACGATGTGATGGACAATCTGAAATTGGGACCTAATGGGGGTCTGATTTACTGCATGGAATACCTGGAGGCAAACTTCGATTGGCTGCAGGAGAAACTGGAACAATATAAAGATCATTACTTCCTCTTTGACTGCCCGGGTCAGGTGGAGCTCTACACGCATCATTCCTCGGTCAAGAATATGGTTGCACAATTAACGAAGTGGAATTTCAGAGTGAGTTCATGTTCAGCTGCTAATAATTGAACAATAATTGAAGACTTTCTCTCTGTCAGTAACTCTCCAGTTACTGTCTCCCTCTCTGTCCCTCATTAGTTACCGTGTAACCAGACTCTGACCTCTGTCTACCATCTGTAGCGTATTGGTGGCTTCCTGTGGTTAGAGTACTTGCCCTGCAAGTGAGAGGACCCGGGTTTCATTCCCGGGGCGGGGAGAAACCTTAGGCAAGTTTTCCTCACTCCGCACGCCTCTATTTACCTAGCAGAAAGTAGGAACCCGGTTGTTAGTGATTGGCAGATTGCTTTTCGGAAGTAATAATCACTCTCCTAAAAAAAAGTGGTCACTCAATCTACAACTGTTTGTGGGGTCGCTGCTGTTCGCAATTGGTTGCTGCGTTTCGCCCACAAAATACACCGTCAATCCACTTTACAACATATTCTGTGATGCACTTTGTGATGTCTCAACAATGCGATAAGGGGCTACATCAAATGCAAGGATTATTACTATTATCTCTCTCTGTCACTCACTCTATAACCATCTGTGTATGTTGCTCCCTAGTTAGCTGCTGTTCACCTGGTTGACTCGCATTACTGCACTGATGCTTCGAAGTTCATCTCAATACTCTGCACATCACTGGCGACTATGCTGAATGTGGAGCTGCCACACATCAATATCCTGTCCAAAATGGATCTCATTGAACAGTTTGGGAAGCTGGGTAAGCTATGGGACATCCAATAAGTAAAGGAAAGGCGTTGTGGAGAGACAGTTCTTTGTGTCAACTGCCATCATTCCTCCTGTTATGATTAGGATGTGGGAAAGTGCAAACATGGATATTTTCCTCTGTTATAACATGGGGCATCCACAAAACATTCAGGTGTTTGGTTGCTCCAATTTTAGAAATTTAGGAGCAAAGTTCATTCGATTTTCTTTAGAATGTCCTTGTTGTTCATGTCTAAGTCACATTTCCTCCTACCAGACATCCACTGCTCAACTAAGAGCAGAGAAATGGCCTGTGAAGTGGGTAATGAGGTTTATTTTGACTTTTTTTTTAGCTTTTAATCTGGATTATTACACTGAGGTGCTGGACCTCTCCTACTTGTTGGATCACTTGGCCAGCGACCCCTTCTTCAAAAACTTCAGACAGTTAAACAGCAAACTGGTGGAGGTGATCGAAGATTATGGCCTGGTCTCATTTCTACCCCTAAATGTGCAGGTGAGAGCTCACACCAGCTGAGGGTAAAATACTGAAAATATAATCAAACAATTAATTCAGTCGGGGGGAGGGGTGCGTGAGTACGGGTGTACATACTGCAGCGAGGTTTGCGGGATGCATGTGGTGGGATTGTTTTGGCCACAAAATACACAGTCAATTCACTTTACAGTATATTCTGTGAAGCGCTGTGAAATGTCTCAAAATGACGTGATAAGGCGCTCTATCAAATGCAAGGATTATTATTGTTGTGGAATTCACACTACAAGGCCAGGGGTCGCAGTGTATGTGCTGGATGACATTCGACAGAGTTTGCACTGATCTTCCTGACAGGATAAGGAAAGCATGAAGCATGTGATGCGGGCAGTGGACAAAGCGAATGGCTACTGTTTTGGGAAAGAGGAACAGCAGAGCCTGGAGGCCATGATGTCAGTAGCAGTAGGCGGAGATTTTCAGTTCGCAGCGTATCCTTCAGTTGTGACCACCTGTTTGGGATCAGCAGTTCAGCGAGTCCTCGATTTCTCCCACTTTCTTACCTATCGTGGATAGTGGTGCTCAGTGGGAGGGGGAATTGGTCAGTCTTCACGTGAATTGGGACACTGGTGTCTGAGCTCTTTAACCGTGGAAGGCTTTGTAGCTAAGCATTGAATAAGACGTATTTGAAGTTTGAACAGCCAGACTGGATGGGCCAAATGGCCTCTTTCTGAGATGTACCATGTACAACTCTATTGGGAATAATCCCTACATTAGAGGCCCCCCTCCCCCCCATGGTTAAAGCTATCATCAAACTTGGCACCTTGGGTCTAGGGCTCAATCAGTTTGATCTTTGTACATACTTTTACTCTTCACACACTATTTATCCACATTTAGGGCTTGGAATTAAAAGTGAAGTCAGGCTGAGCTGTCAGGAGGTATTTTAGTGTGTCCATGTGTGCAACAAGAACAACAACTTGCACTTATATAGTGCCCTCCACACAGGGTAGTTGAAAAGGAAACTTGGAAAGGGGAGAGAGAGGAGGCAAGGCAGAGGGATTGAAGGAGAGTGTTCCAAAGTTTCGGGACATAGTGGCAGAATGCGCGACCTCCAATGATTGGAGCGGAGTGCCTAAGGGACAAGCAGTTGGCCAGTGCCAGTCGAGCGGGGGCACCGGGTGGTGGACTGGGGAGTGAGGAGATCGGAGAGGTAGGGAGCTGTCAGGGAGTAAATGGATTTCAACATGAGTGTGAAGATCTTGAAGTCGATCCGTTTGGTGATGTGGAGCCAGTGGAGCCTGGCCAGAACTGGTGAGGTGGGGATATGAAATTTGGTACGAGTCAGTATGCAGGCAGCAGAGTTCTGAATGAACTGGATTTTTTGAATAGTGAAGCTTGTGAGACCGGCGAGGAGTGCGTTTGAGTAATCCAAGCAGGAGGTGACAAACACATGCAGGAGGCCTTCGGTTGCATTTGGGTTAAGGTACACTTGGAGGCGGGCAACGTGGCAGAGGTGGAGGAAGGCGGTCCTCGTCAGGGACCGGGTGTCGGGAGGGAAGGACAGTTGGGGGTCGAACCCGACGCTTAGATTGTGCACTGGTTCGGTGAGTCTGAGGGAGAGACTGGGGAGGTTTAGGAGGTCAGATTCGCAGGAGTGATGAAGTTGATGGGAACCAAGGAATATGTCTTACCTCTTGCCCACATTCAGCTGCAGGAAGTTCGCACTCATCCAGGCCCTGATGTCTGCTAGACAAGCTGATAGAAGAACATCGGGGGACCTGGAGTCACAGCTGGAGGAGGCAAAGAAGAGTATAAGAGCAGGGAAGTCTTGCTGCAACTGTATAGGACCTTGGTGAGACCACACCGAGAGTATTGTGTGCAGTATTGGTCTCCTTATTTAAAAAAGGACATACTTGGCCTAGAGGGGGTGCAGCGTAGATTCACTCGGTTAGTTCCTGGGATGAGGGGACTGACCTATGAGGAGAGGCGGAATAAACTGGGGCTGTATTCTCTAGAGTACAGAAGAATTAGGGGAGATCTTATTGAAACATGTAAGATTCTTAAAGGGCTGATAAAGTAGACACTGAGGGTCTGTTTCCCCGGTGGGAGTATCTATAACCAGGGGTCACAGTCTTAAAATTAAGGGTCAGCCTTTTAGAACAGAGTTGAGGAAACATTTCTTCACTCAGAGGGCAGTGAACCTATGGAATTCACTCCCCCAGAAGGCTGTAGATCCTCAGTTCTTGAACATCTTCAAGGCTGAGACTGATAGATTTTTTAAAAAATAGAGGGATTCGGGGATATGGGGACAGGGCAGGTAATCAGAGTTAGGTCAGAAGATCAGCCATGATCTTATCGAATGGCAGGACAGGCTCGAGGGGCCAAATGGCCTACTCCTGCTCCTAATTCTTATGTACTTATGTTCTTAAGTAGACTTGTGTGTCATCCGCATACATGTGGGAATTTACGGATGACACCGTTCTCAGAGGGAGCAATGTGACTGGGCTGTGACTTTACTCGAGTAGCACAGTGAGACAAAGAGATCCACACACAACTGAAAGCCGCGGTGTTTTTATATCTACAGCGAGGCTGTTCCCAATTAGTGCGGATGACAGTACTCGACTGCCAAGCGCTCTGGGACGCTACGCTGCCTGATGGGCGGTATATAAATGCAAGTTGTTGCTGCACATGTTTTTTTTACACATGTTGTTCGGCAAGAGTGTGTTTCCTTAGTAACCCTCCAGAGCCATGGATGCTCAAGAGAAATACGTGAGCCCGATTGGCAAGTCGGTTAAAGAAGAAGCCATGGACCTCTAGACGGGCTGGAGAGACACATCACAAGATGAGAACGGTGGTCTTCCCCAGACTTTTGTCAGGGACAGATGTGTGAGGAGCAGAGACGGAGACTGCGTTGCCCGGCGGGCAGACAGGCTGTGCGTGCAGTGTCAGCGGAGGGGGAGCGTCCGCCGGCCCGAGCGCGTGAGTCCTGCCCAGAAAGTCGAGCGCAGAGAGCTGCAGGTGGTTGATTCCTCAATAAAAAAAATTGTGACTCAAATCAAATGGTTTTTTTCATTTATGGCCAAATTGTCTGTCCCCAACACCCCACACCATCCCCCACACACCCCACCCCACACACACCCCACCCCACACACACCCCACCCTCCCCCACACACACCCCATCCCCCACACACACCCCACCCCACACACACCCACCACCCCCCACACACCCCCACCCCACACACACCCCACCATCCCCCACACACCCCTCCCCACACACACCCAACCCCCCCACACACACCACCACCCCCCCACACCCCACCCCACACACACCCCACCATCCCCCACACACCCCTCCCCACACACACCCCACCCCACCACACACCCCCCCCACACACACCCACCCCCCCACACACCCCTCCCCACACACACCCCACCCCACACACCCTCACCCCCCCACACACCCCACACCATCCCCCACACACCCCTCCCCACACACACCCCACCCCACACACACCCCACCATCCCCACACACCCCTCCCCACACACACCACCCCACCACCCCCCCACACACCCCACCCCCCACCACCCCCCACCATCCCCCACCACCCCCACACACCCCACCCACACCACCCCCCCACACACCCCACCATCCCCACACACCCCCCCACCACACCCCACCCCCCCCACACACCCCCACCCCCACCACCCCACCACCCCCACACACCCACCCCCACACACCCCACCATCCCCCACACACCCCACCCCACACACACCCCACCCCCACACACCCCCACCCCACACCACCCCACCATCCCCACACACCCCACCCCACACACACCCCCACACACCCCACCCCACACACACCCCCCACACACCCACCCCACACACACCCCCCACACACCCCACCCCACACACACCCCCCACACACCCCACCCCACACACCCACACCCCACCCCACACACACCCCACCATCCCCACACACCCCACCCCACACACACCCCCACACACCCCACCCCACACATACCCCACCCCACACACACCCCACCCTCCCCCACACACCCCACCATCCCCCACACACCCCAACGCCCCTCCCCACACACACCCCCCCACACAGCCCCCACACCCCAACCCCCCTCCCCACACACACCCCCCCCCACCCCACACCCTCCCCACACACCCCGTGCCAAGCCCCGCCTCCAGCCCCTCCCCCCAGTCCCAAGGCCACGCCCCGACCCTGAACAATCTCGCGGACCGTTACCTCCCGGGACAGCGGAGTCGGGGGCGGTGGTGCGGGTGTTCGGGTCGCGATGTCGACGGCGCGTGTCCGGTTAGAGAGGACCAAGTGCGGGCGGGAGGACAGCGGGTCGGGGGGGCGCGGCCTCGGGGCCAAACTGACCCTCACACACGGGGACGACTGCGATTGGGAATCGATGGACTCGGGGTATCTGTCGGTGGGGATCGATCTCATGGACTCCCTGGAGACCGGAGTCATCGGCTGCCTCCAGCAACTGCACACAGCACAGGGTGAGTGGCTGCCGGGGGGGGGGAGAGGGGAGGGGAGAGGGAGGGAGGGAGGGAGGGAGGGGAGGAGAGAGGGAGGGATGGAGGAGAGGGATGGATGGAGGGAGGAGAGGGAGGGATAGAGGGATGGGAGGGGAGGGAGGGAGGAGAGAGAGGGATGGATGGATGGATGGAGGGAGGGAGGGAGGAGGGAGGGAGGGGAGAAGAGGGAGGGAGGGAGGGATGGATGGAGGTAGGGAGAGGAGGAGAGGGAGGGAGGGAGGGATAGAGGGATGGGAGGAGAGGGAGGGAGGATAGAGGGATGGATGGATGGAGGGAGGGAGGGGAGAAGAGGGAGGGAGGGGAGGGATGGATGGAGGTAGGGAGGGGAGGAGAGGGAGGGAGGGGGGAAGGGGAGGAGAGGGATAGAGAGAGGGATGGAGGGGGGAGGGAGGGAGTGTGAGCAGGTGGAGGTAAGGCTGAGACCAGGAGTTAGTTACGAGAAGCAAAGCAGAAGGAATCACTGGGTGGGGTGGGGATGGGGGGCAGAGTGACCTGGTTTGGCACAGAGTGTAGTCCCAGGTGTGTGTGTGTGGGGGGTGGGGGTGGGGGTAGGGGTGTGGGGGGGGAGGGGGCGATGGAGATATTTCTCATTCATTGCGTTTGTTCGGAAATGAAATGAAATTGAACAAAGCACTTTGTTCCGCTTCGATTCTGTGCGAATGCCCTCAGATTTCCCAACCACTTCCTCAACCCTCACCGCGATGGTGACACAGACACCACAGCTTCTTGACCCCACAGTGGAAGCAGAAAGTGTTAATTCTTTCAAGAACAAATTACATAGTTTTCTGTTAGGAAATAATATCTCAGAATACAATACGTTGTTTGGGACAAGACATGTCAAGCGACTGCCAGGACGATGGAAGGCGACTTGGATGATGGATGGACCTTTCGCTCAGCAAATTCTTATGTTCTTACGAAACGTTGAGGTTTTTGTGTTTGATGTCTTTGTGAAGGTGACATTAGGCCATTACTACAGCAGCTGAAGCCAGAGCTGGAGATGGGACCCACTCTCTGCACCAGTTCCGGGTGTCCGACAAATAAAGGATGGCTGCAGGAGCTGGAAGACCTCTGTAAGCACGGAGGCCAAACCCTGGCGGAGGTTGCAAAAGCTCTGATGCGAGTGAGCAATGAATATTTATCCAGCATTAGCCTTGAAAGCTTCCAAAAGGTTTATTTGGATTTACTGCATCAAGATCAAGAAATAGGTACAATATTATTTTTGCATTCTTGTGTGTGTGTGTGTGTGTGTGTGTGTGTGGAGGGAGGGCTGGAGGAGAGATGGGCACGAATCTCATCTGGGATCTTAGATTAGGAATAGCGTCCAATATAAGCAGATGTCCAAGTAATTGTGCTAATGTTGCCTTTCCATCAGGCAATCTGTTACAGATGTCTATCCAAATAGCTGGAGATTTGGATGTCAATAAGTTGGACCTGCAGCTCTTTGCTTCCTTAATCACTTGCTGCCCAGAGTTCCCTACAGACATGAGGGATCTGGCAGAGCACTGGATCAGAGAGAAGAGAGGAGACTTTTACCAGGAGCTGTTTCGGATGCTTCAGCAAGAGAGGTTCAGCGGTGGCTCAATCCCGGAGGACAAAATGCAGTGGTGTAAACGGGAGCTGTTGCATGCGCTCCTTGTGTCTCTGAAGCGACCACACCAGAAATACCGAACCTTCCACCATCTCCAGGGACACAAGATCTTCCTGCCTGTAACTCTGGGTAACTCCATGCTGTCCCCCTCAATGTATGTCAAGCTTTTCATCAGCCAGTGATTTAACTTGTTTCATTCTCCTTAGGTATCAGATGGGCCAAGGCGGTTAATAATGCAAAGATGCTACTCCAGAAGCACACCTTTATCACGGTGCGTTAATTTCTACCTCCTGGAGGTACATCCTTTTGTTTAATGTGGATTTGTTTTCCAAATGTCGACCAGTTTATCTGGAGAATTGTTGACCAGAATATGAGGAGAAACATCTCGGTTTGACATCTCTTCTGAAAGACAACATGTCTGATAATGCAGTGTTCCCCCCCTTTAATTGTTGAAGTGTCAGCCTGGATGTGAGATCAAGTCCTCGGATACCTTGAACCCACAACCTTCTTTGAAAGAGTTATCCAACTAGTCCCACTCCCCCACTCTTACTCGCAGTCCTGTATATTTTTTCTTTTCAAGTCCCAATCCAATTCCCTTTCGAAACCTACTATTAAATCTGCTTCCACCGCACTTTTAGGCAGTGCATTCCAGATCATAGAGTCATTTGATTGTGCCTTTCTGTGAAGAATATGACAGGAGGGGATTGAGATTCCTACTCATTGCCACACTCCTGGACACTCACAATTAATTATTCCCAGTTTCCTCTTTCTTCTGCAGGAGCGATACAATATTAAGTCATTTTTAAAGATGGCAGCTCAGAAGACGGACATGGTGGTGTGGTACGGTCCCACGGCAGCCAATGCCTTCCTCACACTCTGCTCAGCCCGAGGCTTTCCACACATCAGCCGAGAGCTGAGGAGCAGCTACCCCGATACCATGACTCAGCAGCAAACTGCGAGTGAGTGTGCGAATTTTAGCAAGTGTGTTCAACAACAACAACTTGCATTTACGTAGCGCCCCTCACACAGGGTAGGGTCCCATTGCGCTTGATAGTGGCAGAGCACGACATCGAGCCAGTGTGGGGGGGAAGGGGAGAGGTGACCATAGGCACAGTCGAACAGGAAGGTCTTCAGGTACGATCTGAAGATGAGGAAGGAAGGGGCAAGGGCAGAGGGATAGAGGAAGAGTGTTCCAGAGTTTTGGTGCGTAGTGGCTGAAAGAGCGGCCACTGTCAGAGCAAGTAAGCGAGTGTGAGAAAGCGTTCAAGTGGCAGAGAATGTAAGCGTGAGACATGTAAGCAATTCACAATAAACTATTTTTCACCTTTGTGCAGTAACTGTGCTGGACCCTGACTCAGTCGACCTTCCCCACATCCCGCTGCATGCAAACCACCATCTGGACTCAATTATTTGGAATCATGAAGGTTTTAAAACCCCTTCACCTGCTGATCCATGGCTGTTCCGATTGTCAGGGACTCTGTCCAATGAGTGGACAACAGTGGCCAGAGACCTTGATTTCAGTGATCGAGACATTGAGGAGACAGCAAGGGATTCCTGGTACAACCATCAGCAACGCATGTTCCACCTTCTGAAGAGAATGATTGAGGTGCGTGGTGTGGCATTCACAGAGCTGTGCTTCCTGCTCCTTTCCAGAGGCCGGGAATACAAGTGTTATCCACAGCTAAACCTAGTGGTGGGGGCAGCATTGGCGGTTGGTATGTAATGCTATATATAATTAGTATTCCTTGCGTTTGATCTAGTGCCTTTTCATGTTTGAAATGTCTCGAAGCGCTTCACAATAATATACTGTAAAGTGAATTGACTGTATATTTTTGCGGGTGAAATGCGGCAGCCAATTATGCACAAAACAGCGTCCCACAAACAGTCGTGGATTGAGTGACCAAATTTTCTTTTTTTGTAAGGGATTGTTACCCCCGGAATAGCAATCCACCAAGAATCCTTGTGTTTGATTAAAGCGTCTATAACTTTTAAAACGTCTGATAGCGCTTCCAAGGTAATTGTTGTCAAGTATAGATACTGTGCGTGTGTACACAAAGGTTGCAGTCAATTTTCACGCAACGATGCCCAACAAACAGCCATGAGAAGATCAATTCGTTTTGGGGGATTGTTGGTCAGGAAACTCTCTCACATCTTCTTTCAGATGTGGTTTCAAACATGGACATTATCCGAGTGATTGATGGTAATCAAGGCTATAAGCAGCAGCTCAAGTCCAGGCAGCGAGATGGGTGAGTGGCCTCAAGGTACCCCATGGCTCAGTTTCTGTTTGTTTTAACAGCGATTTGTAAATGCAGCAAAGTCTCCAGACTCAGCTGAATGTCTGTAGGATCCTGATCAGGACAGATGGACTGTTTCATTTCTTAAGAAACATTTTCACACTAAGGGTAGTGGAAATCTGGGACTCTCTCCCCCAAATGGCTGTGGATGTTGGATCCATTCAAATTTTCAATACTGAGGGGGATAGATTTTTGTTAGGTCAGAGTATCAAGCGATCAAGGGATATGGGGCAAGGGTAGGTAATTGGAGTTGAGGTAGAGATCAGACATGATCTAATAGAATGGCAGAACAGGCTTGAGGGGCTGAATGGCCTATTACTGTTCCTATATTCCTAAATAGAAACAAGATGTCCAGTTGGATAGGATAGACAACTCAATCTAACAATATTGGGAGTTTTTTTAAAAAATTGTCAATTTATTTTGAAAATAAGAGTGCCCCCCCCTCCAATGTGCAGTTTGTGCTGGAGGACAATTCCATATGCACTAATCAGTCAAATGGGCAATGGCTTTGGTTCACCTATGTGGTTGGGTAAGAGTATGTGATTCAGTGTGTGGCACTGTGTCATTTAATGTATTCCTGCTCTGATGATAGGCATCGACCAGTAGTCACACTGGTCCATGGCAACCTTGGTCTTGTTTACGATCAACGCAACAAATCACTAAATGTTAGAGAGATGAAAGTGGAGGAGATGGATGCTTTCTTGGACCAGATGTCGTTGGCTGGCCCAGCCTTTGACCTGCACACAGATGCTCCTGGGACACACCTGCTGCTGTTTCTTCCCAAATACCCCTCATCTTCAGGTGAGCATCACAGACACTGAACCTCAAGTTAAACCATTTAACACAACATTTGTTTCTCTTTAATGTATTTCATAAAAGATGATGGAAGGTACTGTTTTGGTCTTAATGGCAGGGACACATTTTGAAAGTTTTTGGTAAATGAACAGTTTTACACATGTTTGACTAAGAGAATAATAATAATAATCCTTGCAATTGATATAGCGCTTTTCACGTCGGGAGGAGCTTCACAGAACACACTGTAAAGTGAATTGACTGTATATTTGTGCGTGAACGCGGCAGCCAATTGCAGACAGCAATGTCCCACAAACAGCCGTAGATTGAAAATGACCAATTTATTATTGTTTTTGTTTTGGAGGGATTATTATTAGGCTCTGTGTGGAGTAAGGAAACTTGCCCAAGGTTTCGCCCTCTGCCTGGAATTGAACTTAGGTCTCTCACTTGCAAAGCGAGTGCTCTAACCACTGAGCTACAGGACTCCACAAATGTAATGTCAGATGTCAGAATATTCCGTGCAGTGCCAGAGTCTGCTACTGAGCATCTGTCTGAGTGGCCAGAATGATCCCAGTGCAATGTTGGAGCTGATTTCCTTCCAATGCATTGTTAAACATTTAATTCAGATCCTGGGCTAACTTTGCTCCTGGTTTTGTACGTTTCTGAGTATTCTCTTGTATGTGGTGTTCCAGAATCACACAAGGATGGAGGAGTTTATAAGTGTCTAATTTATAATATTGATAATCCTTATATTTGATATAGCGCCTTATCACGTCATTGACTTGTCTCAAAGTGCTTCACAATTCACTATTGTATTTGTGGGCGAAACACGGCAGCCAATTGTGCACAGCAGAGTCCCACATACAGCCATCGATTGGGTGACCACATTTTTTTTTCCTGAGGGATTATTACCCCCAGAAAGCAATCTGCCAATTGACTAACGCCCGGGTTCCTACTTACTGCTAGGTAGACAGAGGAGCATGATGTACAGAAACTTACAGGGTTTCACCCGCCAGGGAATTGAACCCTGGTCCACTCACTTGTGAGGGGATTTCACTGGGTTAACATTAGGGGGAAGGCATACTGTAAGTTACCCAATGGCAATGGGTGGGAAGCAGGTGGTGAGACTTTTATCCTGCACTCTTTCTGTTGGGTGTTAATTTAACAGCGTTACTCTTACAGGAAGCTGCATCACCCCTTCTGCCATAAAAGACAATCTGATGCTTTTCTTCCGGGAGGAATATCTGAATCTGAAAAACTCTTTATTCCAAAAGCTGCAGAATCTGTTCAACAATGAAGAGAAGAAGGTACAGATTTCATTTTGATCAGTGCCCCTGGTCCAGCCCTCACTTGGTGCAGCTGAGATCAGTTGCTGGACACGCATGTCACACCTATTTGTGTAGGCTGGGGAATTAGATTGAGGAAGTAGGGTGGGTTCCCAATCCATTGCCTCCTGTTTGAGTACGAGATTGAACTCAAATGCATTAGAAACCTCGGGACAGGAGGAGGCTATTCAGCCCATCAAGCCTGTTCAGTTTATTGGATCATGACAGAATTTTCAATACTATTTCGCTGCCTTTGTCACCAGTCCCAGTATTCATCTGGGACAGCACAACTCACTCCTGATAAAAGCCTCGTTGGTGACAGGTGATTGCTCTGTGCCTCTGTAACAGACTTTTTTTCTGATAGTTTTGATATCCCATCAATTGTGGAAACGGCGATGTAAACTTTGTGTGTTAATGTCGTCCACAGCTTGTACTCGGTTACCTGGAGCTAAATGATACTGGTGCTGTTGTTGACCTGACTCTGTCTAAAGGAGAGAAAGCGTTGGAGGAGTTGTGGGATTTTGTGAAGGAGACCGGAGCCCTGATCAGAGACTGGCCTCAATTGCATCGCAACGCACTGCACACCAGCACAAGTACTTCGCTCTTAACCATAACTAATCTGAGAATTAATTTACCTGCTGCTGCCCCACTTTTTAAACTCCTGATTGACCAAGATATTATTCCTCCCTCCTCCAGTTCAAGTCGCACACATCACAAATGGGAATGTTGAGCTTTTCCTGCCACTCGCTGCCAATGAGACTCACGTCTGGGTTCTGCTGGACTCCTGTTCCATCATCATGCTGGTCAAATGTTTGACGAATTGGAATAAATGTGAGGCTTACTGCCTGCTCTACAAGCCCGTGGGCCGGGCTTACATTCAAAACAAAATGATTATGTTTTTTCATCTGATCCGAGAAAAAGAGGACTTGGTTCAGGTACTTCATTTCATCTTCCGCTACCTTTAGATTAGATTATGTGAATAAGCTAAACCTCCGATGAGCTGGACTGGAGGGGATGGGGGGGGGGGGTGTTTGTGGGAGATCTGGTCCAGCTCGTCGGAATTTCCAGTATCGGCAATGTAATTGTTTGAATCCCATGCGCAGAAGATAGCCAATAATAATAATAATGATAATCTTTGCATTTGATATAGAGTCTTAGCACACTGTTGAGATGTCTCAAAGCACTTCACAGAATATATTGTAAAGTGGATTGATTGATTGATTGATTGATTTTGTGGGAGAAACACGGCAACCAATTGCGCACAGCAGTGTCCCACAAACATTCGTGGATTGAATGACCAAATGTTTTGGGGGGAAGAGGTATTACCACCTCAGGAAAGCAATCTGCCAATCAACTAACAACTGGGTTCCTACTCATTGCTAGGTTAACAAAGGTATATGGAGTAAGGAAATTTACCTAAGGTTTTGCCCCACTTGGGAATCAAACCTGGGTTCTCTCACTAGTTTTTTTTTAGGGATAATGACCATCCTTCTAAGAATAAGGTCTCTTCTGCTTGTGGGATTCAAACTGAGTTAAAGTCGATTTGCCCGGCCACTGAAGGCCAGCGAGCACAGTGAGGGTGGTGCGTGTTAGGAGAGTGAGCCAGCAGGAATCTAGCCACATGTGCATGAATGAAAATTTCTGTTTCTGGCCGCTCCACCAAGGGTCAAGTTCCCAGTTCCCAGAGTCCGGTAATTCCAGGTTTATTGTAGTTTGATAATTACAGAAATTTATTACACAGTTTGAAGCGCGTGTATTGTATCTGTTACGGTGTGTATTACTTTGGATTCTGTTGCCATCCATCCCTAGAGTTTGAACAAAAAGTACAAAGATTGCAAGCAAGTGTTCAAAAAAAAAATCTGTGTGGTCAAGAACATGTACTACAGACTTCATATTCAGTCTAAGATGAAAACTAACTTCATCTCTATTATGCCACAGGTAAATTATTGTGTTATTTACCGAATGAACGATACCGAGTCTGCACATGCTCTTACACATAGATTTCTCCCAATCTTTATCCCCCCCAAAAAAGCACAAAGATTTTCTCACAGTCCAGGCTTACTCAGTAAAAATTGGTGTAGGATAAACTTACCAACAACAAATTACATTTGTATAGCGCCTTTCATGTCAAGAGGACCGCCCAATGCGCTGGACAGGCAAGGATTTGACTGGAGACAAACTCACCAAGCCACTGATAAGCGCTCTGAGACACTACCCTGCGTGGAGGGTGCTATAGAAGTGTAGGCTGTTATTTAATAGATTCTGTTACCAGAAGACCATGAAATTCAAGACGGAAATGGAGTTTATGCTGCAGCTGAACCAGTCGCAGGTCACTGCCTGGCCCCTCGAGCTCCAACTGGTGCGGGAGGATGATGACCAGGAAGTGTTGTCCGAAGTCCTCACTGAGCAGATGCTCCAGCATGAAAACCAAGGTATTCTTGTCTGTCCATCATCCTCTGGCTAGTGCTCAGAACAATTCCATCGCTCGCTCAACCGCTACGTTAGGAACTATATTTGTATTTATTAGCTGTCACTTATATTGACTTTCATGCTGGGGGAGAAATATAGGAACAGCAATAGGCCACTCAGCCCATCGAGCCTGTTCTATTAAATTATAGCTAATCTATACTATTAGCTAATCTATAGCTAATCTAACTCCAAAATTGAGAGGTGCACAGGTACCAATCCAGGCCCATCAGCAACTGCACAGAAGGGTTCGATCATGTCAATGTCTTTCAGAGGGATTGACTCAAAGAACAGCCGACTGATTTCCCAACCTTGTTTACTTCCTGTAGATCATATCCTGGTCAAAGTGCAAGGGGAGCAGCACTGCATCCTGAGAATCCATCAAGAAATCACTTACGAGCAATTCCGCACCGAATTGGAACTGACATTTCCAGAGGAAAACCTTGCCGTGTTTTATAAAGAAGAAGGTGATCTCGCAGACGCCCCTCCAACGCCCCCCATCCCCTGGATTGCCGAGCCCTCGCAGTTTCCCAGTCACTGTAATTTGGGGCTTGCAGGATTTGTGCTGCTTTTACAAAAAAAAATTGTTATATTTTTGCAGGTGATCTTCCTTTGCGCATCAGCCGTCAAAACAGTATTGAATACGTGCTCAAGAACAAACCTGAGGGTGATATTGTTCTCGAGGCTGAAGGTAAAGCGATTTCAATATTGATCAACTCTTTCCTGTACTTGTGCTGATTACAAAGTTCTGTGACTTTCTTGCCTGTGTCAAGGTAAGTGAGTGGCTTGTAGCTGGAACAGGCGTGCCTGGCAACAGGATGCCGGAATCGCATAGTCCGGTTCCCGAGCCAGGCGGGTATGCAATATTCCAGGGCACTACAGATGACCGCACAGCCAGCCTGGCTCATCGGCAGCACCCCGAAAGGCAGACCAGTCACTGGGGCAGGGAATCATCACACTCAGCTCCTGTTAACCTTGTAAGCCTAAGCTCTAATGGATTCAAAGACCCGATAAGGCGCTACATCAAATGCAAGGATTATTATTATATTCTCATTTACCTACAAACCGGTCATTATGCTTGGCAATACTTTGAGATATTTTCACACAAGTACTATAGAAATTCAACTTTCCCACTATGAGTGAAGCGAGCCATAGCTGAGGACGTCTTTTTATAGTCACAGGAGACAGACAGTTGAGTGTGAAGACAGACAAGCATTTCCTGCAGAGAAACAAGCTAACCCTGACTTGCAGGATCCCCGAGATCAACAGTTCGATCGAAGAGCTGCGCCACTGGGAAATCCTCAATGAGGCAGAGTACGAGAAGCTTATCAGTGTCAACCTCCTGAAAGAACAAGTCAGAGAAACCCTGAATTTTGTGATTAAAAAGGGAAATGATGCAATGGATATTTTGCACAGCCTGCTTCAGAAGCACCAGCCACACCTGCTTAAAGAAATAGAGAGCAAAGAGCTGCCACATTCGAGTTGTGATCCAGGACACAGCTAGAACCCACAGCTTTTCACAATGCTGTGGACACAAGAACAACAATGATCTTATGTTGTAAAACACACATTGTTACGTTGTAAAACACCCCTACCCTCCTCGCCCTCTCATCCCAACCCCCTGCTTGGGTCCAAATCCTTGGCTGTCCAGTGCCTTGGGACGTCCTCCCGAAATGCAAGGTGCTATACAAATGTAATTTGTCGTTGACATCAAATTTATTTTTTTATGCAAGGAATAAAAGTTCTTGGATCTGAAATCTCACTGATCTGTTCATGTTGTTGATCTTTGCCTCTGGGTGTAATGATTGGGGTGTTTACACATCCCCAATTCATGACGGTGGCTGTGGACACTGACTCTCGGAGATGGGATAAAAGAACAAGTGATTACTGAATCTGGAATGCTTGTCACACACTCTACATTTCCCTGATGAATAAGGGTGAGGTGGTTCTTTCAAACAGTTGAAAAGACTGACTTTGAAACAATAGCTAATTCCCTGTAATTAATTTATTTATTGCTGTGGGTACATGACAGTATGTGTGAACAGAGGCATTTGATTTCTACAAAGCAGTTGCAGAAGGCACTTTATATAACACCTGAAGCAACAAACTATACAAATCAGTATTGGTGAATAATGATCATACTGTGACATTAAAGTAAAGGTTTCACTGCCACTCTCTTCCTCGCTTACTAAAATGTCACTTTCACAGAATAAATCTAACACACTTTCCGCTGCAAGGTGCCAAACCAGCTCAGGTCAGACAGGTACCGGTGAGGTGTCCTGGAACGCTTCTGAACAATTCAGAGCCACAAACAAATCTACACGCCTGGGTTCTGGCAATAGCACACAGTACCAGCCCCTGCCACCAGCTTCCTAATTTCCTGCTTTACTGATGCTAAAAGACTTTGTGTGGAACACAGGAAGTTTAAGATAATGTTGTTCGGATAATAAATGACAGCATCTCTAAACCTGTTAAACGTTAGTGCGTAAGAAGCGTTGATTATTACCCGTACCGTGTTCTGACCACTCTCATTTCAGTTCCCCCTGCAGATACCCACTGTGGCAGATACACACCTTCTCTGACAGGGTGAAGCAGTCACCCAGGTGCAGAACAGGGTGATGGTGCCTGTATTATTGCAGCCTGAGTCAGGAAAGGAACTACATATTCATTAGATTATTAGAATCAGGCAGAACAAAGCTGTTGCACCTGCCAGATGAATATTCTGTGTCTGAATGGTTCACTTGGTGCCACACTGCTCCCTCTGCAGCTTTCCTCTACGGCACTGGTCACCTTCACGTCCAACAGTCAGAAACTCCGCCTGTGCAGCAGCTACTGCTCCCGGCACACAAGACTGGACGGCATCACATCAGGCAGCTTGTGAGTGACAGACCCCCACCGCACTGCTGGGAAGGGCCGGGAAGACTCCAGCAATGCTAACAGGCTGGGAGTCTATGCTTTCAGTTTCAGCGGTTCCGTACCTTTCCTTTGAGAGCGAGGGCTCGGAGACTGGGAGCTGTCCGCTTTCTCTGGATCAGGTTTGATTGGATTCAGTGCACACAGATCGGTCTGCAAAAGCCACTTAGCGCCTTGTACACCACAGTGGCCCTGGTCACACTGCATCACATTGAGAAGTAGACGGAGGGAGGGAGGGAGGGAAGGGTGAGGATAGGAGCAGAGAGAAGGAGAAAAGAAAAAGAAGTTAGTAACATGTGAACAGAGATTGGATCAGAGAGCAGCAAGAAACGAGGCTCAGAATGCACCCAAGGTTATATTCTGGCTTTCCTCTGGAAACCTCGTTAATGCACCACTGAAATAAAGAACATTCTATCAGGAAGTTAGCAGTGCTCTTCCCCACCACCTCCTCAACATACATTACTTCAGCCTGATAAAAGCTACAGAAAGAGCAGAAACGTTCACAAGAATAAGATCATATGTGATTTTAGGTAATTATGTAAAAAAACGGGGGATTTAACCAGAAGAAGGGTCGATAGGGATCTAATTGAGGCTTCAAAATTCTGAAATATTTCAAGGATAAATAATGAAGATTATTTCCATGGGTTGGAGAATCTGTTAACAGCAGGTGCAAGGCCTGGATTACCAGAGAGTTAAAGGGTTAGAAGAAACTTTTAAAAGCAGAAAGTTATTGCAACACAGAATGCTTTGCTACAGACGGCTGTTGAGGCTGAGAATACAACCAATTTTAAAGGGAAATTGGATACGAATTTGAAGAGAATCTGTGTAAAGACGTCTTAGAAAATCACAAGGAATTGGGATTAGAGCAGGGAAGGAGCACAGGTTTGATGGTCCAAATGGCATCACCTTGTGCTGAAACATCTAGGGAGGTCAACATACAGAATGGAAGAGAATGGGATAATCACAGAGCAGCTTACAGGCAATGCAAGGACGCACAATAGACAGACTCCAGCACCTCACACACAGTGACCAGCAGAGCGTGACGCAGGCTTGCAGCAACCACTAGGTTGGACAATCCATCCTTTACCATCAGTAACAACATCACAACGTGCAACGTTCTGGGATGAGTTACAGACCGACTGTTGAACAATGACGGTAACAGCCATTCCTGCTCTATACTTTACACCAGTCAGATGGCCAGCAACTGGAGCTGCGCCACAGATAACCAACACAGTACTCCCATTGCCTCAAGACGACAGCCCGGGCACAGCGAAGGATGTCACACTGCCCTCAGCAAACTACCTCAGACAGCTGATGGCTGTGAACTCTATAAGCTCGATCACAGCATGGGGCAGAGAGAGCTGTGAGAGGAAACATAGCTAAACCTTCCACCTGAAGAAAAAGCGAAGGGAGAACCACAGGCTGAGATCAGGACGGGGGGTTGTAATGAGAAGTCTACCTCCCCTCATTATAACGGAGCTAAATTAATACCACAATTTAGGGGTCAAAGCAATAGCCATCCTCACTGGGACATTTCTCTCTTGAAAACGTTGTTTACATTTTGACAAAGCATTCACACTGTACAGGAGCCAACACCCAGACCATTCACTCTGAACTCTGTATCTGTCTCTGTGTCTTTCAACATCTAAAGTTCTTAGTCGCAGTCAGAACGGAGACTCCATGATGGGAGCAAATTGTGTGCAGCAACAGTGTAAAAGTTACAGGCAGAGGGACGAGGAGCTGCCTGACAGAACTATCAAGATTCATGTGAAGAAGTTGCTCTGAGTTGTGTCACCCACATGCAATGCTGTGGCTAATGGAGATGGTGCCATAGGGCAGAGCCTTACCCGCTATAAACTCTGACAAGTAGTTCAATCTGCACCTCTACCTCCATCACGCTGAGCATGAAACTGCAAACTCCTCACAAATTTCCTAGGAAACAAACACTAAGCATTACTTACTCCCCAACCCCCACACACTTCACTCAACGCTCACACAGCTGTCAGTGTCAACGCTAGGAGGTGGGAATGGTAGCATTGCATTAACTCCTGTTCCAAATCTCCTGGCTTAATGTTTCTAATCACTTTGGTCATTCAATATTGTAGATTCTATTTATTGTCTACTTGAGTGCCTGGTAAAGACCACCCCCCCACCTTCCACATCAGATAGTAACTTCCGACGTGATAGGTTCTATATCAATGCAATTTGTTGTTGTTGTAACACTGGGTTCTGCTTGACGTTACATTCAATGTTTATACAGTTAATTCACTTTACAGTATATTCTGTGAAGCGCTTTGAGATGTCTAGAAGACGTGAAAAGCGCTATATCAAATGCAAGGATTATTATTATTATATTCAGAGACTCCTCCTCCCAATCATCACTCACTCACAACACACAGTTAGAATGGGGAATGCCTGACCACAAATGGTCATTGAAGATGGATCTCGTGACTACACTCAAAAGTAAATCAGATAGCGACTGAGAAAAACATTTTTGAATGCTATGGGGAAAGAGCAGGATTTAGTATAGTGAGCACCAGCACACACATACACACAGCGGGGAAAGAGCAGGGAATGGGATTAAAGAGCTCCAGTGAGGAGTGAGCACCAGCACAGACAACAAAGAATGAAATTGCCTCCACCTTCATTACAACATTTTTCTTGCTGTCAATTTGCTGCATGTGTTGAGTGGCATCTGCTGTGGCTTCACACTCCATTAGCACTCTGGTACCACTCGCTCTTGGCTGTATTGCCTCCTCCCTCCAATCCTTCATGCTCTATTCTCTCATTCACTGGGGCGGAGGGAGGACTCTGTGATTGTGCATATCTAGTGAGGGGAAAGTGTCTCTTCTTCCCCCCCCACCCCCACCCCACAACCAGTGCTTGTGTTGCCGTGTAATAGTCTCGCACTGATTTTACACCATTTATTTTTCTAAACATCTCTTGGAATCCACGAAAACAGCAACAAGAGATGGAAGAGAAACAAGAACAGAAGTCGCTGGGAACACTCAGCGGGTCAGGAAGCATCTATGGAGAAAGGAAAGTGAGTCAGCGTTTCGACCCTTCGTCAGAACGGGGACCGAAACACTGACTTACTTTCCTTTCTCCATAGATGCTGCCTGACCTGCTGAGTGTTCCCAGCGGCTTCTGTTTTTGTTTCAGATTTCCAACATCTGTGGTATTTTGCATTTTGTTTTAGAGAATGAAGAGAGACTGAAGATTGTGCACAGACAAGTACCTGGGGGAGGAATAATCCACCTTGAGCTGAAACCACAGGCCGTGTATCTGATGATGCAGTAGCGACCAGGTCGATGGACAGAGGAAGCAAAGTACCTGCTGCACCCACGCTGGACCAGAGCCGGCACCTCTACTCAGCACCTGCTGTGGAAAGCAGCCTCCCATTGTGCACAAACACTTCACAAGCACCACAGCCCCAGAGCATGTTGCTCAGAGCTCCAGTGGGGGAGTGAGCACCAGCCCAGACACCTCCTGCCCCACACAAAGTGTAACGACCACTTTTGCTCTCCCCACATTCCCGCCTTGTACAAATTGGCTCCGACTTAGATTGAGATGTTGCCTGATATCAGAGTGCAGCAGCGAAGCTGCCCGTGTAAGTAGATATCAGGCCAGAGACCTCTCCCTGAAACAGCCCAGAATAAATACATATGCCCGAAACACCATATGAAAAGAATTATGTACACAGCTCTGCCTTCGTTCGTGATATCTGAAGCACGACGGAGTCCGGTCATCGCGATCACTGCTTCTGGCTCTTGGTGAGCCAAGGAGGCTGGGACAGTCTGTCTTGGGGTAGCTCTGGGCTCACCCGCACTGGCAGAGAGCAGTCTCTGCTTCAGAGTCTCTCCTCCCCGCTCCTGTGCCGATCCTCAGCCACACAGAGGAGATCATCTCCAACATTCCCACTACGGATCGTACCCGGCACCTCAATCTCCCATCTCCGCGGCCATTCGGGGGGGAAAAAGGATAAGAGGATGAGAAGTGCTGGAGTCACTGCTCAGGAATGACATGAATTCATGGTAGGATTAGAGAGCACATCCTACCAGGCTAGCTTCTGCTCCAGTTCCCTGCGATGCTGGGCTGCACTTGTGTCCAGGCTGTTGCTCAGTGTCCATCTCCAGGTAGCCTCGCCTGTCAATTAAACTGGAGACGAGACATGGCGAGTGAGTCACAGAATAACACGCCAACACATTGCTCAATATGATCACATGTGAAGCGCTTTGAGACGTCTCAAAGTTGTGATAAGGCGCTATATCAAATGCAAGGATTATTATTGTTATATTGAACACATTCCCCTGAGCCCTCAGTTTGGGGTTAATGTGTGTGAGCCCTTTTCTGTGCCCCCACCTACCGCCCCCACCAGCAGTAACATCAGTCTAACTATGTGTTACCTGGGTGGCATGGGGCCACACAGCACGGCACAGCAGTTGGTGAGAGCGCTGTTGTAGCTATATGGGTTACCAGTCTCCTCACAGCCTCGCTTTGTGGTCCAAGAGCCTTTAATCTGTTATAAAATAATAAGAGCATTAGACAAAGTTACAAACAAAATAAAATTAATAATACTGTAATTTGGTCACTCCGTTCGTGGGACACTGCTGTGGAGTCCTGTAGCTCAGTGGTTAGAGCACTCGCCTTGCAAGCGAGACACCTGGGTTCAATTCCAGGCAGAGGGTGAAACCTTGGGCAAGTTTTCTTACTCCACACAGAGCCTAATAATAATCCCTCCAAAACAAAATAATAATAAATTGGTAATTTTCAATCCACGACGGTTTGTGGGACACTGCTGTGCGCAATTGGCTGCCGAGTTTTGCCCACAGAATATATATACGGTCAATTCACTTTACAGCTTATTCTGTGAAGCGCTTTGAGATGTCGAGAAGACATGAAAGGACTATATCAAATGCAAAGATTATTAGTATTATCATTGCTGTGTTTCGCCCACAAAAACACTTTACAATATATTCTGTGAAGCGCTTTCAGACATCTCAACGACTTGATAAGGCACTATATCAAATGTGAAGATTCAGTTGTACTTACATCTTCATTGGTTGTCAGATTGGAAGCCACGAGGTATGTGTGGAAGCCAGAAAGACCGAGAATGGACCAGACAGAAAAAAAGCAGATCAACAGCTCGAGGGCAGTGAGGGTGTCAAGGTAAGTACCATGTAACGCAACGTAACTGCTTCACACACTGAGGCACACAAACCCATACACGCTGACCCACATACGCAAACACAGATCAACACGCGCACACTGACAAGCAAGAACACACTCTCCCCATATCTCGAAGGATATCTGGCTGGAGATTCCTGGAGGACATTTAACAACCCAATTCTTTGAGATCCTAGAAGAAGAGTAAAAAATTGTGAAAGGTTAACAGCTGCTTCCATTCTCTTTACACACCCCCCACCCCCCATCCCAAATCCTCACCCCCATGCCTGACACATTCGCCCACAATTATGAATTCCATTCATTATTGAACTGTTCACCCTTTCCACTCTAAAGAATATAACCCTAATTGACTTTGTGCCACATAAACTGGTGAATTGTTGCTAGACACTTTTTAGTCTATCTTCCTAATATCCAATATGTACACAACAGCACATGAAGTGTGACTGACGGCTGCCGTATCTTATGTTCTAGACCATCTTCTTATAAGGTCCAGCATCTCATTAGCCTTATTATCTAACGAGAGAGAGTAAAGCACTTACTCAGCGTGAGGTGTGTTATCACACATGCAAAGATGAAAGCGGTGAGGAATGAGAGCGAGAGTAGAAACATGTAAAAGAATCTGTAATTCCGTTTCCCCACACAGTTTCCAACCCAGGGGCAGTGGTGGTCAAATCGCTCTGAGGGGGGAAAAGAAAACATTCAGATCATTCCAATAAAACTCGTTTTTTGGGTGTTCCCCTCCACCCCCCCACCAAAATGTAGTCAATTCACTTTACAGTGTATTCTGTGAAATGCTTTGAGATGTCTCGAAGATGTGATGAGGCGCTATATCAAATGCAAGGATTATTATTATGAATTAAAGCTCAACTATGGGGCCACATCACAGAGCACATTCCTGCCTGGGGCAAGGCTGCTACTCACCCACACAGTTGTCACACAAACTGCAGTGTGAAGTGCGTGGTGGCCGAAACATTTTGCAACTGAAACAATACTTGAGTTTGACGGGCTGCCCGTTGATCAGCACCTCTCTGGTGCGTGGCGGCCGGTAACTGGATCCCCCGGAGTTATCTGAAACAGAGGCTCGGTCAGTCGCAGGACATCGGCAGTGAAGCTCGCACAGGCCAATTTTGCGTGAAATTTTAAACACTCCCATCAGATTAAAAATATTTCTACCAACTTGTGGGTGAAATGGTGCCGTACGCCAGTTACCCCACAGCAGCTCTGTGCCTCAAAATGGGGATGATGATCAACAAACTTGTTTTTAAAACATAATATCAAAACATCAACATGTAAACAAATATACATCAGAATCCTCCAGGTTGCACAACAAGAAAAAAGGAATCAAACCACAGAGTTTATCTGCAAGAGAGACGCTGCTGACACACAAAGGGACAGAATAAAACACCTCATCCTGCACAGAGCAGCTCCTGGTTCCGGCACATTTCCCGCGGCCAATGAACACAAATTTCAGTGGGACAAAAGCTAAGACTGCCCAGTGCCAGGCCGGTTTCCCCCTGCTGCCTCCTGCCTGGCCAGTTGCCTTGGGACGTCCTCCCGACGTGAAAGGCCCTATACAATGTGATCTTGTTGTTGCTGTTACCTATCTGTCTCTCCAGGTGAGCTGCCTCCTCGGGTGTGGCGCGGGGCAGAATGCCGGGGTCACTGAGGCTGGTATGAAGTAAGGCGCTGACCACAAACAGGAAGAGGAAGCCAGCGATGATCGGGATGGCGAGAGTCAGGTGCCGTGTCAGGTAAGGACAGCTGCAAACAAAAGACATCTGGTTACACAGGAAACACTCGGCTGAGCCCCACATCTGGGATCTGGGTCACACACACTGAAGCCCATTACCCAGTACAATTTGTACAGTATAATGAGTTTAAAGGGAATGTTATAGAGAAGCACGGGCTCCGCACCGCTACCTTCTACACAAAATGAAATGGGCGGCAAATGAATTGGAATCTCGAGGGTGAGTTTAAACAAAGAATGATTGATGGGATTTAAATGGCCTTTTAATCAGGAGAAACAACAACCACCGCCGCCGCCGCCGCCACCACCACCACAACAAAACAACATTTATAGAGCGCCTTTCACGTCGGGAGGACGTCCCAAAGGGCTGAACGGTCAGGTGTCCGGGCCCGAGCGTGGGGGTGGGGGTGGTGGGGTGGTGTAGGGGTGAGGGAAGGCAGAGAGATGGTGAGGGAGACCAAAGGCACGGTCGAAGAGAACGGGTCTTGAGAACCGGCCTTGACGGACGGAGAGAAGCAGCAGCGGCAGGAGAAGAGGCGGACGGGGGTTCCCCCGACATCCACCCGGTCAGAACCTGTGCTCGTTTGGCACAACAGTCGGACGTCAGCGGTTCCCGTCGCCGTGGGCTGAGCGGCCACTTTCTGCACCAATCGCGTGGCCGCGAGTGGAACAGAAGAGCTCCGCTGATGGCGCTCCGACCTCTGGGCTCAAGAGAGAGAGAGAGAGAGAGAGGGAGAGAGAGAGATTGTGGTCTCGAGCCCCACACACCGCGAGGCCACTCCTGAGCCCACGGTCCAGGCTGACGCTCCAGTGCTGTGCCGGGGGGGTGGGGGGTCTTCGCAGTGTCAGTCGCCGTCCTTCGGATGAGACGGTCAAGCGATCGGTGGGGGGGGATGGGGGCATCGCTACAGACAGTCACTACACTAACCAAGAACTAAAGTGGCTGAGGCCCAGGGAAGCCCCCGGGGGGGGGGGAGGGTGGGGGGTATGGGGGTTGTTACTCAGTGTCCCCCCCACCACCCACCCCCGGGGGGACCACCACCGGTCGGGGTTCGGGGCGCGACTCACTCAAAGGCAAAGAAGAGGCCGCTGGTGACGAGGATGAGGCCCAGAGTCAGGTAGAAGGCGCCGCTCAGGCGGCCGCTCATCAGGCGCCCGTTACAGCAGAAGCGGTTCCGGCCCGGGAACGCCTCCCACTTCCTGCGGAGGGGCCGCTTCCCGCCCGCAGGGCCCGGACCCGAGGCCGAGCCCGAGCCCGAGGCTGAGGCCGGGCCCAGGGCGATCTGCCGGTACTCGCACTCCTTCATGGCGCCGGACTGAGCATCGCAGCCCCCCGGCGGCTCCCGGTCTCCCTGCCCCAGGCTCTCCCCACCGCACCCCACCCCCGGGGGAAGTCACCGGCTTCCTGTCCCCCCCCCCCCCGCTGCGGAACGCGCAATCCCGGGCCCAGCACCGGCTCCAGCCCCAGGTCTCCCGGCGAGCAGCAGAAACCCGGCGGCCCCGGCGTCACAGCGCCACCCGGCGGCGCCCGGGAGTCACAGCGCTGCTCCCCCCCACCCCACCCGGAGGCGCCCAGAAGTCACAGCGCCACCCGGCGGCGCCCGGGAGCCACAGCGCTGCTGCCCCGCAGTCACAGCGCCACCCGGCGGCGCCCCGCAGTCACAGCGCCACCGCTGGGCATTGCGGTCGTGTGCGGCAGTGGCTGATTTGAGCGCAGCGGCGGATGTCGCGCAAACACAGCCGCAACGTGAATCAAACCGCTGGGGGAAAAAAAACAAAAAAAAAACCTCCCACTGTTCCGATCATATTTCGGTGTACAAACTGCGTGGACACGTTTTTGTTCAAAAACGCCTTCCAACAGCACAGCACTGGGGGTTGGAGGGTCAACACAACACAGTCCGGGAGTTCAACGCCTGACAGAGGGCGTTAACCCTACAAATCAAATCAAATGGTTAAAAATGCGCCCAATAATAATCCCTCCAAAACCCCACAACAACAATAAATTGGTCGTTTTCAATCCACGGCGCTTGGGTTTGGGGGACGTCGCTGTGCGCCATTGGCCGCCGCGTTCGCCCACAGCTATATATACACCGTCAATTCACTCGACGGTGTGTTTCCGCGAAGCGCTTTGGGACGTCCTCCCCACGTGAAAAGCGCTATATCAAACGCAAGGATTATTATTATTATTATTATTATTCAGCTAATACCATTGCTGTTTTGTTAAAAGGGGGGGAGCAGCGCATTGACAGTCCCTTGAAATGAGATGTTAAACTGGACTCTCATCGGGAGGGAGTTAAAGACCCACCACTGGGTCCTGTTTCTCACAGCTCGGTTTACTGAAAGAATTTGGGGAGGGGGGGGGGGAGGGATACAATCCAGCTCTTTAAAATATTGGCATAGGTTGTTGCGACTGCAAGGGAAGTGTTTGATTTAGAATGAGAAAGTATTTGCTGTCGCATGTTAAGGTAGCGACAGCAATGGGCCGTCTGCATTCAGACTCAGTGACCATCAGAGTGACACGATGGAGACCCGAGAAGTTTGATCCAAGTTCCGCTTTACATTTTCAGATTCCGGTTGTAGTTTGTGTGAATAAAGCGTGGAGCCCTCATCGTACCCACTGTGGCAAAACAGAGCCAATAAACTTTGATCCTGTAGAGAGGAATTAATAGAAGTTGTCCAGGTAGTGGAGTCCTGCAGCTCAGGACTAGAGTTAGAGCACTCGCCTCACAAGCGAGCGACCCGGGTTTGATTCCCGGTAGGGCGCAACGTTGGGCATGTTTCCTTACACCACATGCTTTTTAGCAGTAAGTAGGAACCCAGTTGCTAGTCGATTGGCAGATCGCTTTTCTGGGGATAATAATTCCTTCAAAAACAAATAAGAGATGAGTCACTTCAATCCATGACTGTTTTGGGGTGCAGCTTTGCGCAATTGGCTGCCACGTTTCGCCCACAAAATATAGTCGATTCACTTTGCAGTATATTCTGTGAAGCGCTTTTAGACGTCTCAAAGATTTGATAAGGGGCTATACGCAAGGATTATTACTATTATAAACTAACAATACAAAAGATTGTTTGCGCTGCATACTGCCATCAGGCTGATACAGAGTCTGTCTCTGTGCTCCCACAGGGAAGGGGTAGAGTGATCAAACAGGACAGCACGGCACTGAGTTACAGTGCAGGTCCCAGTACTACTGTGTTGTTAAACATGTCTCTGCATTAATATTATTTAAATCCCATCGAACACTAAAATAATAATAATCCTTGGATTTCATCTTGCAAGTCAGGAGTGCACTTTGCAGGACAAATCCTACCCTTGACCCATCAAACATTCAAACACTTAACATTATAAAATCATACTGTGCGGTGATTGGAACCGAAAAAGAAAGCATCTCCACACCAGAGGGCGTTCACGCTCACTGTTTCCCATCACTATCACAGCTGTAAATCACATTTGGTGCAATCTGTAGCTTCAACAGACTAAACTCATTGGTGTAAAGTGGTGACTCATTGCAATCCTAGTGTAAACCATGTGGCCAGTCATATAACCTGCTTGTCCAGATTTTACTCAAGACTGTGGTGCAAATGGATTAGAGATGTAATTGCGGCTGAGTTTATCGTGAAATTTACTGGGCCGAAGGCTGGTGCTGGTGGCAATGCTCAGAATAAGCTCAGAGAAAGATCAGTTTTCTGTATTTGGGGGGGGGGGGGGGGGGGCTGTGCTCTCGAGTGCTGCAGAGCTCTGGGCGTTAGTGTAGTGTGTCCCAGTCCCTGATACAATTTCCCTCCTTCCCTATGAGGAAGCTGCAGAATTTTGTTGGGCGACGCCCTTCAATTTATACTGTGAGCAAGCACCTCTGGCCATCAATGCTACAAAAGTAATCAGTACCAGCATTAGCACATTGCCTTGCTCCCCTCCTTGTAATTGCTGGTTCCCCGATCAACAACAACTTACAAGGAATGATGTTTGGACGTTTAACAGCTGCTGTTCAAATGGAACTCAGACATTGCATGTTAGCAGCGGCAGTTCAGGTGCTGCTCACTCTGCTGCAAGGGCTTGTGTCTTTGTGTTTCACAACACGGACACGACCAGAAATAATATTGTTGTATTTTAAATAAAGAGTCTGGTCCAACTTTGGATAAATGTATACATGCATCCACACATACATGAATACTGTCGGTGGCGGTCCCAGTTATTGCAGTGGATTGCCTGCCTGATATGCATCAATAAGATAATCAGACGGATGTGAAGGCTCTCCCCAGCAGCAGTGACAGAAGCGGCAAGGGTAGTTTTTATTACCATTATTTATTTACTCCATCTCTCCAAATACATAAATCATTCTGCAGTAAGTTAGTCCGTCGCAACCAGGCCTCTAACCCAACCACCAACCTGCACCGCAGGCAGCACTTTACAGAAACCAACTGATACACAGCACAGAGCCTGTCCCACACACAGCACCTGGTGTTGAATGTTCTTGTTCGTGTTCAAATCCATTCACTCCCTGGCACCTCCCTACCTCTCTGACCTCCTCACTCCCCAATCCACCACCCGGCGCTTCCGTTCGACTGGCACCAGATTCCTGCTCGTCCCTCACAACTTCCGCCCCACCATCGGAGATCGCTCTTTCAGCCACTACGTCCCAAAACTCTGGAACACTCTCCCCCAATCCCTCCGCCTTGCCCCCTCTCCCCTCTTTCAAGTCCTGCCTGAAAACTTTCCTCTTCAACCGTGTTTGCAGCCACCTCCCCCCTCCTTGGAGTCAGGCTCCACTACTGTTAAGCTCTCTTGAGATGCTATCCTGCATGGAGGGAACTATATAAGTTAAATTGTTGTTGATGATGAATGGAACATATTGAGCGAATGAATGTCTGAAACATTCTGAGGCTCATGTCCACGGGAGGAAGTTGCAATGCAGTAACAGACCAAGGAGCCAGTACAACAGAAAGTAGGCCAGGAGCCAGCGAGTAGTTGGGCTTCGTTGTCTCCAGTCCAGAAGCAGTTCCGTCAGGATGTTTTTGGGCAACACGGGGTTAGTGGGGGCAGCAACACTGTTCCACGTGGCATGTTCAGCCTCCGCTTTCTGAATCAGGTGAGCACAGAACCAATACAGGACAGGAGATGATGAGGCCAAGAACCTGGTCAAAACCTGCAAACAAAGGAAGACAGAGATTAATGCACGCTCTAAAGGAACTCAAACCACACACACAAGCTCCAGCTCTCCAGCTCAGTCTTTTCCCAGTACAACCATATTCATTAGCGGCGCTGCACAAGATGTAGTTCCTCCCATCCTGAAAAGCATTGACTTCTTTTTCCTTTAACTGGGAAATAGTTGCAGCAACAGCAGGTCCTTCTGGTATTTTGCCGAAGTACTCACAGGGAATTGTCATGATGAATGTTATTGGGTTATTAGACCTGGGGGAACATGACCCAGATATCCGCAAGATTCTTTCGTCATTGGTCTCGGGATAGGTATCAGGAGCAAGTACCCCGACTGATTTTCCCATTCTAATACTGGGACTCTAAAGCCAAATGTTAGACAACTGCTGTGTCAGCTGCAATCAGGGTCAATCCCTGGACACAGAGCCAGTTGCTGACGTGTCACAGACCCCACACTCAGTGCTCTGGTGTCTTGGTCTTACCTGAATGTGCATGAAACACACGGCAAACGCAAGCAGTCCTGCCATGTGCACGAGATAGATGAACACCTCTGGGCTGTGAAACCCGTTTGCTGGCTTCTTCTCTCCCACCTCCGTTCTCCTCTTGCTGACCAGTCCCAGCCGCACACAATACCAGAAATCAGCTGCCACATATTGCCAGGCAGCCCAGCCACCCAGGAAGGCAGCTGGCAGTGCCAGCAGGAAGTTGGGCAGCTGTCGGAGTTGGTAATACTTCAGGAAGCCCAGATTCCAGTACACTTTCTGGATGTAGGAGTAGATCAGGGGGAAGCGGTGAGAGCACCAACTCGGCAGCGCCATGTTTATATCGGGGACCCTGTAGCCCTTCTCCCTGGCGAGCTGTAAGAGAGGCTGAGGGACATCCTGCCCTGAGGTCACAGTCGGTGTGCAGAAGGTCAGGTAGCCATAATACTGGAAGAGTGCAAAGGGCAACACAATTGCGATCGTGCCTCCGGCCACCGTCAGCACTGACTGAGCAGCTACACGGAGCCAACACCATGTCTGAGGTCCATTCACTGCCGACTTCATCACCGCCCTCACGTGCCTCACACTGCGCTTCAGCTCCAAGTAGATGAGGAACCCAGCGTTTACCGTCCCATTGGAGCGTGTGGCTGTGGCTAAGGCAAAGAATACACAGCCCAGCACTGACCATCCGATCTCCAGCTGCCACATCCCTGCCAGTGCCAGCAGTATGAACATGCTCTCCGAGTAGGCAGCTGACATGAAGACACTAACTGGAGTGAGGCAAAAGAGCAAGCTGGCAAGGGTGGCCATGCTGTGATCCTTCAGCACCACACAACTCAGCTTGTACAAGGCTCCGGCTGCCAATGTGAACAGAACTGTGTTTAGCAGCACCCCAGACAGCAGCAGGCGGTTGTGGAGGCTCAGACACCCCTTGCACGGTGAGGCAAGAGTTTCAGCCACTATCCGCATGCACCCCGGAAACAAGGGCAGGAAGGCAAAGTTGTGCTCAAAGACATAGCCAAACTCCGCGATGAATAGAAAGTGCTGTGCATCCCAGCGGGAAAAACCACTAAGCAGGGTTTGCACTATCACATCTCCCAACGTGGAATTGTGCAGCTGGGGTGGACTGAAGGCATCGGCAGTGTGGTCGGGAATTAGGGAATTAAACAGAACCTAGAACAGAAAAATTAATATATTAACATCCTCATCATTGCCCAATGCATCTATGCACCCCCCCAAAAAAAGTGGGACAGCCATTGGCACCTGAAACATCAGCCCCTGAGCCATTTCCAAACCATCCTGAGAATATTACACGTTACTGCCTGGAAATTCAACCTAAGATGTACCCTTGACAGCAAGGGCACTGCATTCCTGATGGGGCAACGCTCTTTAATACAAATAATTAATCAATTAAAATTTTAATTGCCAGGAAATTAAACTGAAGCAGCAGCTGCTAATCCCGGGAGCAGTCAGAACATTTCCCAGTCTTCTCGCTGGCAGTGATCTCATCCGGTCACAGAAACACACACACACACAAGTGTCAGATATCAGAAACCTCCTCTGCAGCTCACTCAGCACAAAGCTGTTAAGACACAGAATCACTTCCCCTCTGCAATCGTTTGCTTCCTCCTCTCGCCCTCACCACATTTGATAACAAATACAGAAAACATTTGAAATTATTTTGTTTCTCTATTGAGCAAATTCTGACTGGAGACAATTCCACAGATACTCTTGGTTACCTTCCCAGGTGACCATTCCTCATGTACGAGTTCAGTCAGACAGTCAGTAAGTCAACCAGCCAGCAGGTTACTGAACCACAGGGAACTCAGTCCTGATACTGATCTTGTTCTCACCCAACACTAACCCATTCTAATAGGGAATCATAGAGATCAGGAGCACGGAACTATGGCTGTTTTTCCTCTTCTCAGTCCTAGGGTCCTGTGGCCAACTGCAGTACCAACGATGATCAACAATAAACCAGCTCGGGTTCTAAACCTGGAGTCAACCTCAGCTGTGAAACATGGTGCTGCAACAGACAATGTCATTACCCACCCAGCTCCCAGGAAAACCAGTCAACCCATATTTACCCCATGAAGGTGGGCTGGCTCTGGACCAAACTATTATTGAGCTACATAAAATCAGAGGAGGTGGAAGGAGGGGAGAAAGACCATGGAGACAATGGTGCAAGCACACTGGTTGTACCTAATTGGGGGGAGGTGGGAGAAAGAGTAGAGTGCAGGGAGAAATGTGTAAGCATGTTAGGCATCACATCTGAAGCCTCTGAATGGCAGAATTACAAGTGTGGCACTGATTTGATCTAAGAGCCAGGTATTGGAAACATTCTGGCTATGATTCAGGCCACAAGTAGGTTACACTTTGGAAGCATATGCCGCATTGATGCACGCTTGGAACTGACCTGCAAGAGGACAGTGAGGATTCTGGTGTACAAAGCAAAGAGCATCACACTCCGAATGCCGTAAACTTCCATCCTGTGAAGTGACTGCACAAGGCACGCCAACACTTCACCTCTTTATTATGCTGGGACACCTGAAAGGAGACAGATTGCAGAAGATTTAGTTACTGTGCAGCTCAAGCCACTTGGCCCATCCCAGAGGGAGTGCAAAGTGTAGACACTGAGGCATTACATGCCGTCATTTATTTGCTTCATTTACTGACCAACGCTGGGATCCAATCGGGAGTTCCTGCCTCCCAACTGACTCCACGTGTGCTGCAGCTCAGCACCCTCATCGCAGACTATTTCTGCTGAGATAATCTGCAGACTCACTGCTTCACCCCCCAGCCCAAGTCAGTCTCAATAGCTCACTCAACAGATTCACTCCCAGCCCGCGTCCAGGCACCAGTCCAGTTAGACTGGGTGAGACCAAGATCCAAGACGATTAATCAACTTAACACACTCTTGACAAGATATTCAAATAATGACTCGTCACAGATGACGCAGCCGGGTGACGGGTGTAAGGTACATTCTGCTGGGAGTCAGTCGCCGCTCTACCGGCTCAGCCTTTTAATTAGTGTGCGAGAGGAGGACTGGTGTATCTGCCGTTTGTTCAATGGGATTTTAGAAATATTCCCGGAATCCTCGAACGTGTCGGCCTCGGGGCCGGGCGCGCGGAGGCGGCCCGTCTCAAGACCCCCCCTCTTCGACCCCTGCCTTCGGGCACCCTCCTCCTACCCTCCACCCCCTCCTGATCTGCACCACCAGCTCGGGGTGGGGGTGTGGGGGTGGGGATCCCAGACCGTCCAGCGCCTGAGGACGTCCTCCTGACGTGAGGGGCGTTGTACACACGTCAGTTGTTGTTGTTGTTGTTTAAAAGCTCACGTCGGGACTTAAAATCCCATCGGAGGCCATTCACGGGAGGGAGGGAGGGAGGGGCGAAGAGGAGGAGGGGGGAAAGAAGTGCGGGGTTTAATTAATCTAATCATTAATCTAATCATTTAAATCTGCTCTTGACGGTGCCGCCGCCTCGACTGATCTGGAGCTCAAAATGGCGGCGACGGCCACTCTCTCCCTCCTCCCTCCCTCCCTCCCTCCCTGCGCGCGCAGCGGCCCGACTGACCTGGCGCGGGGCGGGGGGGGGAAGGGGGCGAGAGGCCTCGCGCTCTCAACTGCCACTTCCGGTAAGGTGAAAAAACACACGCGCGGCGCCCCGTCACCGCGTCACCATGGAAACACTTCCGGTTCCCGCGTCTCCGCCTCCCGCCCGCCCAGCCTTCAGCAATGGCGCCGCCGGGGCGCGTCCCCAAACCAACCGCTCCGCCGCGCCCTGCGTCACTTGCCTTGTGTGAGCTGCTCGACAAAATGCCGGGGGGCGGGCGGGGGGGGGGGGGAGACTCGGCAGGGCGTGAGAGCCGCAGCCGAGAGGGGACGAATCGGGTTCAGAACCCGGTGATGTCCCCCCCCCACCCCCTCCCCCACTAAACAGCAGATTGCTTTATTTTCTGAGCTGATTCCCTTCAGGAGCATTCGCCTCGGGAAGCACTTTATTTCGGATCCCCACCCCCTCCCTCCCCCCAAAAAAAAAATCTTGCCAACCCCCCCCCCCCAAAAAAAAATTAAAACGAAATGAATTCGCACGTGGATGCAAAAAAAAACCCCAACAACAACCAACCTACCTGTCAGCACGTCCCCCCTCCCCCCACCACCACCCCCCCCTCGGCCTCACTGACTGACCCGCTTCCTGGTTTGGGCTATTCCATGTTGCTGAGGGAGCAGATTCCTGCCTCTGAGCTCAGCTCAGCTCCTGCCTCCTGTTACTCCACCTCCCTCCAGTCGCCCACACTCCTAAGACAGTTCACCCGCCCCTAAATCCGCTGGCAAAGACATTTACAACCCCCCCCCCACCTCCTCACACACACATACACACACACTCCACGCTGTCATAATGCTGCTGGCAGGCAGGACGTGGCGTCTCATTATCCCAGCTAGGGATAGGTAACGAGGTCACTGCCATTCTTCAAATGTTCCGGGAGATTTTCTGTGTTCGGGTATCTCACCTCACGAGCAAATGGAAGAACCGGTCCCTACGTTGCTCAGATGCCTTCCACAGCAAAGGACTAAGAGCATTTTCCATCGTCAGGTCTCGTTCTGCGGTAGCCTTCGCGTCAGAAGGTTGTGCTTTCTTTCCATCCAATGTCAACTTGGGTACTTGTTTGGCCAGTACTGTACTGGGAGGGCACTGCATTGGGAAGTGTGGTTGTCAGGTTGAAACTTTGAACTGAAGGTCCGTCTGTCCAAGTGGCCTGAAAGATCTCTTAGCCCTATCCTGACCAACAATCCTCATCATAAATTGGTCATTCACCTAACATCTTGCATTTATATAGCACCCTTCATGCAAGTTAGCTTCTCAGAGCGCTGAACAGAGGTGGAGCTTGCCCCCAAGCTGGTTGGGGAGGAGGGGGTAACTGTTGGCACAGTTGAAGAACAAGGCTTTAAGAGTGATCTGAAACTGCGGAAGGAGAGGGCAAGACAAAGGGATTGAGGGAGAGTTCCAGAGTTTCGGGATGTATTGGCTGAAAGCACGGCCAGCGCTGGTGGAACAATGGCAATTCATGGGGCTTTGCTTCATTCATTACACTTAACAACAAATACTTCTCAAGCCATGTTCAAATAAGCTGAGAATGGTCCTGGCTATTAACCATTAGGTCAGTATTGCTGCCACTCAACGATCAGCTGGGAAGGGAAATATAGCCCAGACTATGGCTGAATGTAGGTACACTTATTGGAGTAATACATCCACTTCATCACTTGGAGTTAAAGCCTAAATATCTTGGTTACTCAGATCAAAAAATATAATTGTAGCAGTAGAATAGCATTCAGTACCCAGAGAGTGAATACACTGATGGACTTGAAAGCAGTTTGTAACTCAGTGGTTAGTCTTCCTCATACAAGCACAGCAATCTTGCGAGACTATAGGTGGGAAAGCAGAGGCAATCAACAGCCCAACTATCTATTCTCAGTTCTCTCTTCCTGCCCTCTTTGGATGCAGAAAAGCTTACATTTTACAGTACTTTATTGCATTGAAATGTCTCAAAAGCACTTCATTACTGTCAAGTGCAGTGGTTGTTTTGGAGGTAAGTGTTGCTGCTGTTGTGACTATATATTTGGAGAATTGTTGGCACACCAAGAGAAATTGCCTTTTCTTTTTGACTAGATCCATGTTGACCTGAATAAGCAAAATAGGACCTCAGTTTACATCTCATCTGAAGAACAAAATCTCTGCCAAAGTGGGCTTCCCCAGTTCTGCAGTGGAGTATCAGCCTAGACTTGCACTCAGGTCTAGATGTGTGGCTTGAATTCACAACCTTCTAACTCAGTGGGAGAGTATTACTAACTGAGCCAGGGGCACCTCGCCTTGACTGTACATCAAGCATAAGAAAGCTTGAATCGTTGGTTGGAGCTCAGTCAAACCAATCCCACTGACCCAACACGGCATGCTCAGCAGTGATCCAAAGTAGGAAGCCAAGTGGATTCTCCAGCCAGGGAACACTAGGACTACATTATCATCCACAATGCTGCATCATCTTATAGTTACAAAAAAAAGCACAGGAGCAGGCTATTTGGCCCAACTCATCTGTGCCAGTGTTTCACGTTCCACTCGAGCATCCACCGCTTCTAATCTCAGGGTAGACCACTGAGCAAACCCAAGCTCTTATGTTTAATGTGGCTAAGCAACTACATCAACTCATGTACTTACTCACCAAATCATCAAGGTGCTCTGGAACATTGTTTCCAGTAGAATAAATACATCTGCAACAGTAATCCTTCCAATGAGTACACAGATTTTTCACAAATTACCTCAATGGAAGGCAATGCATCTCTCGAGCTGAACACAAGCACAAACCCACTTAGCATTCAAGAAATTAACTTGCTTATATAACTAACTTAATTTTTAATAAATTTCACTCCGCAAAGCTCTTCTGGGACATTCCTTTTCTGTGAAAACTGTATGCAAGTTGTAATAGTAATCATTTTGTTCTCAGGAAATCTCTTTATTCTCAGAAGCAAATCTCTGCAAAGAGCAAGTTTTCAAAACAATTTTCCTCTAGTTTAAGATTAAATTCCCTCAAATACAACAGTACTAACAATGAAGTCTTAAACTGAGTGATTTCATTATTGAAACCAGCCTAGCTCTTCGACTTCACACACAAATGATCAGCAATTACAGGGACTGCTTTTGTGAGTCAATAAGTTTGAGACATTTTCATCGCAGCAGAAACTCAAGAGCTGCCTCTCCAGCTGGTGAATCATCATCAGGGTTTACATGCCAGTTTTCTAAAAGAATCAGTTAAAAGTCAAAGCCACAGGTCCTCAGAGAAGTTTAGAGTCTAAACCAAAGACGAGTTGCTGGCGAGAAACAAACTCTGCCCAGCTTACTGAGGTTATGGAGACAGAATGTAAGAAAGCCCAATATTTACCCAGAGCAAGCTAGTTTATAGCTGCAGTGATTAAGGGGACACAAATGCTGTACTCAGTGAGGTGCAGAAACAGGTCTCTAAGCTGCAGAGGGTGAGGATGCGACTGCATTACAGGATCCAATCAGTGATTCATCGATCATCTGCCTCCACATTCCTCTTTGGTTTACAAAATCCTTCAGAATTTTTTTTACACAGCTCCAATCCGTTCCATGCAGCCGCCCTCGGCAGAGACGCGATGGTGGAAACATTCCAACAGTGACTAGCAAAGATGGCACAACACAAAATACAAAAATATCGACTTGGTTTAAATGGTAAAATCCAATTTATAAATGCTGAAGTGAATTTTCCTCCTGCCAATTTTCACCAAGTCTAAAATTTGAATTCCCCGTTAATTTGGATAAAAATCAATTGTTGAACAAGAAAATATTGGTCACAACTTTCAGTCCATGTTGATCAATTCTTCAGCTTCACAGATAGGGAGAGATGCAAACCCCCAGACCAAAACCCACTGGAGCATTAACTTGGCTCCTGCCCCATAGTAGAGATCCTCTGCCAGATATTAACAGAAACTTGGCTCTTGCCCATGGTAGAGATCCTCTGCCAAATATTTGCCAATACATTTTGAAGTTAACATTTGTCCGGCTTATCTGCATTTCTTAACCTTGATCATTTTCTCCAATTTTTTTGGAAACCTGGTGCTCGAATACAGCTGCTCCGAGAGAAGGAATAATTCTGATCCAATTTGTTCATTGACCTGCCATTCTGTACATGAATAGACATGATTGGAGGCTCACCAACAAATTACCTATGGCCATAGTCCCTTCAAAACAGGTGAAAAATGAATGAAAGCCTCCACGTCTCTTACCAAGATTTAATGTACATTTATTCTTAACACGTGGAACATATAGTATAAAGATTTCATACTGAATAAATGATATTCATTAAGCCAAAGGAAAAAGGAGGAATTTACATCAAGTTTTAGCTACATCGTCTGAAATACAAATATGCAGATTTTATAGCATTGAAAAATCTCAAATTGTGTTTCTTCATCATTTTCGTGAGCTTCAACTGAATCTAAACTTTTTTTCCACACCTTGATTATAAAGGAAAACGTGATCACGTGCTCTCCTCGAAACAGAGCACAACTTTATACATACAGAAACTTGTACATCACCCTCAGAGGAGATATGGCCGATGGAAATAAAAGCTATAGTCACTTCTCGCTTGACCATGTCATGAAAATTGTAAACCTCATTCTACAGGAGAAGAAAAAAAACCACCAAATCAGAGGGTATGTGTAATGTACAACTTCTATATACATTACAGCTCTCAGGCTGTAGCGGAAGGTTCAAACCAGTTAGGAGGTGAATCAGGGAAGTTCATACAGTCAAGGGGAAGAGGTCAGGGTGTTGTAGATACACATGATACTTGGGGGAGGGAAAGCTTTTCACGTTTACTGTAAACTAAAAAGTTTAAAACTACAGTTTGCTGCCAAACCACTGTTTCTCATTGTGAAACATCATCATGTTTACAGCTGATTGAGGGTTACATACATCTAGGATCTACTGCACAGGCCTTCTCCTGAATGGCGTAGCAGAGCTTCCCACGAGGCACCTTCCAGTGCTCCTTACGTCTCTCAAGAGTACAGCACGGAACCACGGGAGTTCCAAGTCACTTCGCTTCCAAAATTACCATAAAAACCTCAAAGTGGTGCGCTTCAGGGGACCGTCTGCCTCCCAAACTCACCGTAAACGAGACAGCAACTTTGGTTAAAACATTTCAGACTTACACAGGCAGCAAACATTAATTTTTTTTCCTCGGTACTTGATCAAAATGACTACAATATCCTTCCATTGTTAAGAGTTGGGTGGGGACAGATTTTGGGAAGAGAGGTGGTTTTTGCATAAATAAGGACAGAAACAGTCGATTCAAAGATCTCCACTCACGCACACACACGGTCAGGTCCCCAACAGCTGTCATGACTGGCCTATCATGAAGAGTACATCACAAATTACATTTGTAACCAGAGAGTTCAGCAGAGGCGACACAGAGATATCGAGCAGTCGCGACTCATGCAACGTGAACTCAGAGTGGTTTTCTTCTACTTTAGCCATTGCCAGGAGGGCCTTTGCGGCTCGGCGCATCATGTCCATGCTTGCTGGCTCAATGGGCGCAGTCTGCAAGTGCATCAGGCCAGACTGGCTGTGTTGGAGTTGGGTGGCAGCGAGACTATCCTCCAGAAAGCCCAGCAGATTGCCGATGCTTCCCTTCTGAACCGCAATGGCTCTGGCAGCCAGGCTGTCTCCCTGGGCCAGGTTTGCTAACAGCACTACGCACATTTCACGGCACACCTGGCTTTTCCGGTCACCGATGACCCTGATCAACGTCCCATAAAGTTTCTCCAAGCGGCTGAAGGGAGGCGTGGCCAGGACTAGGTCCACGTTGTTGTCCTGGATACTAAGCTTACACAACGTCTCCAGCACGAGTCTCTGAGGGGAGAGCACTGCGTTGGGGCCGAGCATTGGGAATGGATCCTGGGCCTCGGCTGAGGGACAGACAGCCCAGTGTAGCAGCCCATCCAGAATTGGCATGCAGATACTCTCCGGATACACAGACAAATCCAGCTGCCCAGAAATATTGGCCAATGTGACGAGGGTGTTCTCACGCAATACTTCTAAGCAGTCCCACCACCACTCGTCACTGTCGCAGCTTACGCCCTCATCTTCCTCGTCCTCCTTCTCGTATGTTAAGGGCGCCAGTTTGCGCTCGGGGTGTTCATGGTGCTGAAGGATCAGCTTGCCCAGGAGAAGGAGTAGGCCCGGGTGCTTCGACATCTCCACGTCGTTCCCAGGCACAAAGGCCAGGCTGCGCACAATATTGGATATACAGATGCAACGCTTTGTTAATGAGTCCTGCCAGTCTGCCACCAGGCACAGTGGCAGCTCGTCTCTGCTACGTGGCTCGTCCTCCAGAATGGTGATGTTTTTATGACTATGCCCCTGGTGAATTACAAACGGAAATTTGCTGTTTTCCAAGTTGCTGGTCTCTGTTGAATTATTCACTGGCTCCTCCATGAGTGAGCTTGGCCATGCCGACAGCACGTCATCAACCGTTGCACTTATGTTCTTCTCGGGCTGTTCCTTGACCGGAGTTTCGTTCCCTCCTTCCGTCATCCCTTTCCTGCTTTCTGCCGGATGCCTTTTAGTCGATCCTCCGCGGGTTGTGACCCGTTTCCGTGGCGCTACTTCCACCTTGCTCTCGAAGTGTGTCTGGATGTGTTCTGTAGTGTCTCCTCCACCAATCTGCCAGTGCAGCAAGCCGCTGTCAAACTCCTGCACCCTGCCCAGCTGATGAGAGCGATCCACCACAAACATGTCACTCTTTGTTACCACTTTCACAGGGAGCCTGTCGAATTTGCTGACGTGCTTGATATTCTCCTCTGGGCTCTCAGAGGCTGGGATCTCAGCTGCGCCTGCTGCCATCTCCTCCTCACTGTGTGCGGACTGCTCACCCACGGGCTCGGGATCAATCGGTACTTTCCCAAACTGTTCTGGATCTAACAGAGTCCTTTGGCCAGGATTTCCAATTTCGTATTCTTTCAGAATTCCAAATATTTCAATCAAGCACCGCCGGAAATATTCTACCAGTAGCTCCAGGAACCCCGGCAACTGTAGCAAAGATAAAGTGAGAGAAACAAGCGATCAGGCTTGTGAACATCCCCTGTGGGCTCTGACCAATCCACCAACTCAAGCAAACAGCAGACTTGTAAGGTGCAACACAAACCATCAACTAACATATACACAGAGCCCCGGGGCTGCTCGTACTCTAAGTGTATGTGTGGTGGTGGTGTGGGGGGGGGGGGGGGTAGGGTTGCGGGTGAGGGAAAAAATAGAGGAATTCTTTCCTTCTCACTTTGCAGAATGTGTCTGCTACTTGTGGGTATCCTTTTAAATCTGTACCATGTTTCTCCCTCCACCCAAAAAATAAAGACATGGAATGCTAGATGGGTTTCAATGTCATTTTAAGCAACTGTTAAACTATCTGAATATTAGCAAAGATTGGCATTGCCTGGACAATGTTGTTTACTCACCTGAGAGAGCGTGAAGGTGGATACACTGCTGTCATCGTACAGTAAGATATTGATGGTGTCCAAAGCCCAGGTACTTTCAGCCAAGAGACCCGACTTGAGAGACATCATCACCCGCCAGGCCTCTGGGGTGCCTGGGAAAATAACAAACAGAAATGGCAATATGGCCTGGGGCAACTCATGTCTAGCACCAATGTGCTTCGAAGCCCCCTCTCCCCCCCAAGCAAGCCACTGTTTTCTCATACCACCTCTCCACAGCCAGGGGACCTCTCCAATGAAGCAGAAGCAACTGATTAAATAGAGCAGTATGACACATGGCAAAGTATCAGGTTTACAAGCCAAAGCGTTGACCTGGATTCTGCACCAATTTTAGGTTCCAGTGGTAACTTGCAAAAAGAAAAAAAAGGCCTGACGGTGGAGTTGAATTCCAAATCACTCCTGCAGCAACAGCCATGAGCGAAAGCTGAAAACTCCTTTACCAGCTGGTGTAAACATGTGAGAAAAATCACTCCTTGCATAAAGCAGGAGCCCGTCAGTGACAGAGCACTTCAGTGCCGGTCAGTTGAATTTTACAGCCAATGTTCAGTTGCTCAGTGTGTGATAAGTGCTACAGGGACAGTATTACCATCAAGCTGCGAAACTCACATCATATCACAGCTCACGCAGCGTTCAACGCAACATATTGGGATTTTTAAAAAACAGTCACACACACACACACATAGAACTCTCGACAAAATACACTCATGTCCCATGCCCCCCGCGCAAGCATTCTCTTGGAAGAGGGAATCCTGGCCAATCCTGCACCCTCCTCCAACCGAGGTGTTGTTTAATCACCACGAGCCACGATATGATCAGTCACCACTCACCAATGTCCTTTGTGGTTAGCCTCCGGCGAGATTTCAGGATTGGTTGAGATGCCTCAACTGAACCAGGAGGGAAGGTGATATCCCGTCTCAGCATGGGTGACTGTGAGGGAGCTCCAGCCATGTGCGCAGCAGGCATCGGTGCCCCAACTTTCTGCATCTTCATCCCCGAATGGAGAAACGGGGACTTGCTGGGGGACGTGCGATTCTCGGGTGGGCGTTGCATAGGGGCGGGGCTGGAGACCTGGGACAGGTGGTTTGGCACTGCTGGAGGTGTTTGGTAGTTGGACTGCGGGGGCCGCGTATTTGGAGCAATGGATGCGGATGATGTGAATGGTGGCTGGCGTTGGATGACATGAGAACCCCACTGTCCTTCATGGTTCATTCTCTGATCGGGTCCCATCATCTCCTCAGAGCGATTCATGGTGTGGTAACCCGGAGCCTGTGCTGGGGCCCCAGGTACTTGCCGGTTTGGGTAGTTGTACGGCATGTCATTACGTCCTTGCCAGACATTGCCCTGCGGGCCCTCAGGAGGAGACTGCATCATCTGTGGAGGCATGGCCTGTTGTGTGGCTGAACCCTGGGCAACCTGCATTCTCTCTCTGCCGTACTGAAACGGGAACTGATTCTGCACTGGCCGGCGCTCCGTACCAGGATAGGCATTGGCATACTGGTTGTATACATCTTGCTGTGGCTGCTGCCCCGGCCCTGTGTAAGGAATCCCATACATCTCACCCTCCTGGCGCTTGGCTGGAGGCCCGTACGTCCCATCCATCTGTCGTTTGAAGTTCTGGAGAAGATTTGATAATAAGTGTCATAAATGTTTTAAAAACATTTTTGCAAATACAGACTATTAACCTGAACTTGATCAGACATTAAATGCAGCTTGTTTACTAGCTTATTTTTCTTGATGAATTCGGTAATTGCCAGCGGAACAGAATCCCTGAGGTTGGGATGATGTAACCATTCCCAGCACTAAGACCCTCTTCTATGTTAATGATAGAACCAGTACCTGGTTCTGTTCATTACCGTCCTCCATCCTATTGCACACGAGCGATTTGCTGAACCATTTTCCACACTCACCTGTTGCTGCTGTGGGAACATCCCAGGCTGCTGGTTGGAATAGGGCTGCCCAGTCGCAGCTACCTGACCAGGATACTGATTGCCATAAGGATCGTGCCTAGTTTTACAGAGAGAGGATGGGTGAAAGGAAACATTGACATTTAATATAACTTAATGCAGCCTGCCATCAGCCCCCCCACCCCCTCGGCCGCACGCCATTGGTAACAGCACTTTGACATTTGGACTAGTGTTTCACGTCAAGGTCATTAACATTGAACGGCCAACTTTAATCTGATTTCCCACTCCCCTTTTCAGTTTTTACATAAAACATATTCAAAACATTCTGCTTGAATATCTGCAGCAGTTCAGCGCTGAGGTAAACTTTAATGAGTAGGAACCAATTCTTCAACAGTAAAAAGCAGAGTCGCCCACTTACCGCTGCTGCCCCGGGTAGCGACCTGGGGAGTACATGCCAGGATCTGCACTCACTGGGACCATGCTGGGTTGTGCTGAGGCAGCTCCCAAACTCCCGTCTGGGCCCATTCCGTGTTCTGGCCTATAGGTGCAGCGGCGGAAAGGAACGAGAAAAAGTTAAGAAAAGGGAAAAAAATACAATCGAGTAAGTAATTAAAACATTTTGTAGATGGAACACAAACCATCTCTCTGCATCTTGAGTCACAGCTTCAAATTAAAACAAGAAGATTACATTTGTATAGCGCCTTTCACGTCGGGAGGACGTCCCAAGGCGCTGAAACACAAGCATGGTCTCCTGGAGCTCACCAGTACACAGCATACAGTGGCTGATGTTGGCACTTGCTGTGAAAGAGTTTGTTGCAGACACTTCTGAATGAGAAGTGATCACAGTCATTACCCAGTTGTTGAGTGACCCTCAGCTGTCAATGCCACATGCTAAGCTGCTTATTTGCCACATAGTTTATTGGCTGTGAAACACTTGCTTCTTTCCCTTTACAAGAATCTTGTCTGGGTAACGGGTGCAGTGGCTGCAGAAAATAGATAGTTCAGTGACGCTGGGTCACATCACCTATAAGTGGCAGGATGACACCAGCTTTCTGGGCTCCAGTTACTCCCAGCAATGTTAACTCCATCAGAGCCACAGCAGAGTTTCTGCCTATGTTGAATTCTGTCGTTCAAATGTCTAGTTTATGAAAAGTAGAATTACTAGAAAGTTACATACATCAGAATAAGGTTCATGTTCTGAAAACTGACAGGACTGAACAGCTTTATGTGCTCAGATGGTTCCTTAAAGTGTAAGGATTTCCTCCCTATCAGGTGAATTCCAGTGCAGACACCCCTAGAAGATATCTGCCAACCCCTCTCTGGTTATCACTACTATGCAGATATAGGACAACCTGAGTCATTGCCCACCTGCAAAGAATGAAAGGGGACTGACCAAGTGCCAGCTATCAACTAAAGTAATTCTCTGCAAGGTTCACTCAGAATAATTTTGATTTGGTCAAAGCTCAACCTCTGCTCATTAACTCCCTGCATACACACTATATAATAAACACACACAATATATAATACAGACACATTTTACCAATGCTTAATAATACTACGTGCCACCAGCTGCCAGTAAGGAAGAACCAACCCCGTGCATTGGAACAGGTTACATCTTCTGTGTTTTGCTTAACCTGTTCAGTGTTAAATGGGCTAAATGAATCTCAGTGGATATCACAGAATCATAGGAGGCTATTCCACCCATCGAGCCTGTGCTTTGCCTGTTCCTTCAGTCTGGATGTTTCCTGTTAAACAGCAGCATGATTTGCTGTGTGTATCAACCTGGCTTCCTACCTCCTCTCGAATCCAGGTCCATACGCATACTGCTGGCGCTGCCCCATGCCCACAGCACTCATACCCGTGGTCGTGGGGCGGTTGTAAAGGTCTCCCATCCCCGCATTGGGAACAGGTCCAGCAGACATGAAGGGGTCAGTTCCAGGAGCTGCTGGAAGAGAGATTTACTCTGTTACATATACGGGTATATAGGAACCCCCAGAACTACTGTGAATGAACCTTCACATTTACCAATTAGCTAGAGAACAATGCAACATTTCTGCTGTAGGTTAAAGCTTGCTTTTACAAATACTGGGTAATCAGCACACACTACCTTTGCGCATGCCACTGAATGGATCTTTATTGGGCTCGTAGGGCATACGGCCCATGATATCGGAAGCATTGATGCCAGGCTGGTACACAGGGTTTGGTGTCACCGAAGTCCTCTTATGGAATGCCGGGTCGCTCGTCTCTGCAAACGGGTCCTGGACACTCACAGAGTTGCTCCTGAGTTTAATAAAACAAAAAAGATGCAAAGAGATGCACTCTTGCCCATTTGGTCATACCCACCCCCCCACCCCTCACATTTGTCCTCATTTTGAAGTGAGCTATTCCCCACCCATTCCTGGAAAGGTCTTCAAGTTTAGACAAGTAACAACTAAAGCAAAGACATTGAGGAGAATCATTGTATGCAATGAATTGGGCAGGATTGATGATGGAACTCAACGGGTTTACTTACCTTGAACCCTGCATCGGCTGCATATGGCTGTGGGGTGTTGAGACTGGTGTTGGTGGCTTTAAATCTCCCTCTGTCATCGAGCTGCTGGTGGACTGAGGTGTCTGAGGGCCCTGAAGAGACCCTGAGCCAGCTGCAAGAAAGTTATTCTCACATTATCTTTTGTGTTGAGGGAGAAGCATAAATAACTGCACCGAGTACAACAGCTGGCACATATAGTGAAGTCTCAGCCACCTTCTGATTGTGCACGTCACAGCTTTCCATCACTCTGCCATCAGAGTCTAATTTGTGGGTTTCAAGCCCCACATCAGGAATTTTAACTGAAACGAATGAGCAAAGAGGGACCCTAAAGTGTGAACAATGTAAGAGGCCAGCTTGTGTTTGCACCATCCTGCATGCCCAATTACTGTATCGCTGCTGCTGAAGTGGAGTATAGCACCAAACATAGCATCAACCTTACATGAGTTAATCATGGGCTAGAATCCATGAGCAGCGCTAATTTTAGTGCTGCGAAAATTAACCAGTCTCAGACACTCACATTCCAAATCTGTGGGTTCAAGGCCCATGTAGGCACTTTGAACAGTCTAGGCTCGCGCTCCAGCATAGTGCCCCGGGAACACTGCAATGTCAAAGGTGCCAGTATTCAGATGAGATGTTAAACTGGTCTGTGCCTGTTTAAGTAAACATTAAACACCCCAATGCAGTATTCGAAAAGAGAAGGGAGTTTCCCCTGAAAGAAATTGGTGATTCACTTTATGGCTGTTTGTGGGACATTGCTGTATGCAAATTTGTTGCTGCTTTCACCTACAGATCCAAAATCACCACAGCAGAAGCCCGTTAAGCAGTTTGAGGCATTTTGCCAACATAACGGGCCATAGCAATTGCAGGGATTTATTTATGGTGAGTGATTATCTGGAGTGCACAGCGCTGTGTAAATTAAGTCTCAGGTACTACATAAGGTCTCATGACTCATGCTGCTATTCATTATGTGGCAATGAAGGTCAGTGCAAGGGCAGACATATTTACACCCCAGCCTGCTTCACCTTTTCAGCCTCTGCAGCCAGGGGATTCCCCTCCAGTTGACTGGCATCTCACAGCTCCAGAACATCATTGCTGGCTTCCCCCTTCCATTCCGGCAAGGGATTGGGTTACATCTCAGCAGGGAGGTTGGGTTCAATTTCATTCACATTAACACTCTCCCCATTCATCAACTTCCTGAAACTGGGAACCCCCAGGGATTCTGAGACTGTAAAATCCAAAGCAGTCAGCTGGAATGCTGTGGGCAGGGCTGCCATTCCCGGAATTCCTACGCTTTGCTGTGCAGTCATCACGTGCAACATCCGATCAAGGAATCAGTCTGCTTTGCCCCAGCTAGCTCCCTCCGAAGCTCACAGGAAAGCGGCTCAGGCAAAGCCAGTGAAGACAGATATCATGCAGGTCTCTCATTTTGATCCCAGAAGGTGCAAGAATTTAAACCACAAGAATTCTATAGCTCTTCGAATGCACAAAGCTAGACGGACACACCACAAACCGCACTGGCAACCACCAGTTTTGTCGCTCTGCCGCCAGTTCTTCAAATCACAATAACAAATTACATGTATATAACGCCTTTCACGTCGGAAGGACATCTTAAGGCGCTGGACAGTTAAAGGACAATTGAATCACCACATATAATGTGGCATATTTGGCAAACACAAGCAACACCAATCATCTGACTGCACCCACTTACAGTGCTAGTGCTGCCCACCCCCCATGCCCCCTGCCCCCATCCAAGTTACACAATCACTGTCTACAGCAAAGATAGAACAGCCCAGGTTGCTGGACAGTGCACAACAGAAAGATCTCAGCAACTTTGCCTCCAAACACAATCACAACGCTCAACAGTAATTACCTTTTTTGGGGCATTTTAACATTGTTGGCGCAATATCCCCCCGACCCACCCACCCAAGCCGGCAACGTTAACACTTACCCGGAGAAGGAGGCTGTATCTTTGGTTGTTGCTTTTTGGAATCTGAGGCAGCGAAGACGTCTGGTGGAGGATCCTCACCTCGTTCAATCTTACACTCGAAGGCAAACAGACACTGGATATACTGCTTCTTCAGCGAGCTGGCTGCACTGCTGGATGTGCCCACACTCAGGTTGGTGGCCAGCTCCCGCCACTTCTTGTTCTTGTTTACCTGTGTGAGAGGTGAGTTACTGCCTCAGTATGTGGTAGATTACATGCCCTTCAGCTCCTGGTGAACAATACAGCACATTAGCAGACTAACTCTGCCTGCAAGGCCTGGAGCAGTGTAGGCTTCTTAGAACTCCACTTAGTCTTTCCTCTCCAGGGCGGTTTTGCTCAATTTATGCTAAATCGTCCCAAATGCCTGAACGTCAATAGTACTGAACTCAGAAATCAGGGTTAGCAATGAGCCGCAGCCCCCGGCATCTCCAGCGATATATTCAGAAGTAAATCAACACGATGTCAGGTTTCTGCATTATAAACCAGATATTCCCCACTGCCCTCTTTAACTGACCCCTGGAGACACGTGCAGAAAAACCTCCAAACCAAAGTACACAAGTGTCAGCCTATCGGTAAAGTGGAGAGGTGTATACCAGCATGTGACAAGGCTTAACACCCACCACTTAACACCCATTTATGCCCACCTGTGTCAGGCCCCCGATATCTTTGACGGACATGTAGAGCCGGTAAAGGTCCAGCGGTTTTCTGCCGACTGCAGGTAGATTAGTCATCATCATGCCCTTCTCCTCCATAAAGGCAAAGTACCGGTCGATCCACATCTTACGCTCTGGTTCTGAACCCAACTCGTATAGCTTGGTGATCTTTTCATTTGTGGTGGTGGAGGAGCTGCTCTTCTGCAAACCAAAAGATTCATCGGCAACATGAACAAACCATCCCGAGAACTCTGGATACGGTGGCCATCAAGGGAAACGGCCACACGGCTTCTCAACTCGAGTGAAGGGAATTGAAGAACTGCACGCAGCCTTCAGCAGTGCCTCAAATACCCATTGCAAGAGCAAGTCACCCTATATATTGATTGGTGGATCATTTCTGGCAATGTGGTCACTCAAGCCACGACTGTTTGTTAGACACTGCTGCGTGTAATTAACTGCCGCATTTCGCCCACAAAATAGTCAATCCACTTTACAATGTGAAGTGCTTTGAGACGTCTCAACGACGTGATAAGGCGCTATATCAAATGTAAGGGTTATTATTACATTCAGTGCAGGAGTCCCCAGAACTGCCTGAAACTAACATGTATCATTCTGTATCACAAAAGCCAAGCGAAGGATGACCTGTTTTACTGCGCGTTTCACAGGCAAGACTCGGACTACCAGGCCACGACTTGCGATCACATTCAACAACTTCTCACCTTAGACTTTGTCTCAGCCTTCAGCATCCCATCCGCCTTGTTGTTTGCTTTCTGTGTTGGTGGCAATTTCCCTTCTCCGAGGGCCATCATCTCTGGGCTGGGAGTCATCCCTGAAGGAGACAGGTTGAAGGTAGATAAAATATAGATTGATCCCATTATACTGCAGTGGTTTGGGTCCATAAATTCAGATCCTTTATAAAAGGGTCAGTCTATAACATGCACTTTAACAAATTCTGTACCACACAGCACCTCTTGCCAGAGTCTAGCTGTGCCCATGTGAGGAAAATTGCATGGAATCACTTTAGGGTTGGTTGAGGTGTCCATTTGAGACCCAGAAGTGAGTTGTGTTCCATGGTTTGAGTTTTTTTAGACTCAGTAACAACTTCCAACACACTTCAGCCTAACACATCATCCCTATCATCACAAGCTGACCATCCCCAGTATCAGACTGTTCTAATCCATACAGTGAGACAACACCTATCCAGGGATCATAGTCTGTGCACATTCAACCTCCTCCAGACCACACTACGAGTACAGCATATGACACAACAGCTTCTCTACCAAACGCACTGTTGGCTTCTGCTGCATTTCTGTACAGTGTGAGAAACATTTCTTATGCATTCTCTGACAGGAATTCATTCAGACAGGACAAAATTACGCCGCATCATCATTGCCCAGCCCAACAATGGTTGACTTGTCACAGGGTCCTGTACCTCGGCACTTACCTGCAGAGCTGTTTGCCATGTTGCTGGCCATAGAATATAGAGGACCTTGTGGGTTCATCATCCCAGCCATACTGTTCATTCCCTGGCTGTAGGGGGAGCCAGCACCCATCATACCACCTTGATTCATGGGTGGGTAACTAGGCTGCCTGCATTCAAAAAACAATTCATTGTAAAATTAAAGATTGAATTAACACCTAAAACTTACTTGAGACAGTTTACAAATCAAACAACACAGGAGGTGACGAGACTTCTCTAACCTCTTAATCCACCATTAGACACAAGATCATACTTAAGAGCACAACATATTCATACTCTTGCAGGGCAGACATAAAGGACCTCCATCCCTCTCAGACCCTAGCCCTTGCCCGCTCTATCTCAGACCCCAGGCCTCATCTAACCAGTCTCAGACTTCTGTCCTCACTGCAGGGACCAAACCTCTGACCCCAAGGAGCCTGCTACCAACCACTCCTGTTATTTGTGCCCGTGAGAGCCTGTGAGTGCGAAGCCAGTGACCGGTGAGTACACAGCTGAGGTCTGTTTACTGATGAAGCTCTTCCCCTGGGGACTGTACTAATCAACTCCCAGTTCAGCTGCCATCCCAATTCTCCTCATTACCTGTGGCACAGAAACGGAGACTAATTAGACTTTGTACAATTATAGATACAGTAAATTACCACCACGTGCTGCTAACTACAATACCTTGCACTCCACTAACATTCAGCGCATAAATCCACTGGGATATTAACCCAGATTAGATATACACATCTTCCAAAATGCATTCAAGGACCCCACTCGATGAGAAGCCGAGGTCCATAACATGGTCCACCTCCCTGCACCCACATACCTGCTCTGCACAGAGTTTGCTGCTGCATGCATTGCAGCCACTGCAGCGTCCTGAGCCTTGCGGTTCATTGTTGGTGGTGGGCACATTCCTGAGGTCATCTGTGCCTGGAGGGTTGGTGCATTCGGTGTCATGTTGCCTCCGTAAGGCCGGTTGCCCATTGTCGTGGGGCCCATCCTTCCAGGGGGCATCCCTCCATAAGGTGGTGCAGGACCTTGTCCGTGCATTTGGTTGACGCTGGTCATTGTGTTCATGGTGCCTCCCATCCCATAGCTTGCGTTGGACATGGTATTGTAATTGGGTTGTCTGGGATAGCCACCTGTACACGACACACAGTATGAAAGTAGGATACCTACACACATCCTCTGCTTAAACCATAACCCGCATACAGCCTTTGCATTGAGCATTCTATGGCTCCAGGCTCCAAAATTCCGCTGTAGCGGTAAATGCCGAGGTACATATCCCTGCGAAACACTCAGATTTTTCAGATTTGATAACACTATGCCTCACATGTGCAGGACATTTAAAGGCACAATAGTTACTCACCTTGAGGTCCGTACTGGCCACCCTGGGGCCCGTAATTTATAGAATTATTCTGCTGGTAAGGGCTCATTCCGGTGTGCATTTGGCCTCCAGGAGACTGGCGTGGAGATAAGGAGGAGCCGGTCTGTGGAGAGCCATACTGAGGCAGCTGGGGGTTTCGCGGCATGTAGCCTGTAGAAACAAGGATTAAGGTGAGAGTCCCACTCAAAATCGTCATTCAACAGCAGAGAACCAACCTCCATTGAACCTGAAGCACGTCCCACCAATAACCTGCTGTATAATTCTACTGACTGATGTGCGAATTAGAGCAAAATTATTCAGTAGAAATATTCCATATGCAATTTATAATCTCTTTTCAATTAAAATACAAAGCTTTCAACTAATAATCCTTGCGTTCGATAAAATGTTAGAACATCAAACCTTCCCAAACACTTTACAGGTGATTGTTGCAATATAATGACTGTATCTATAGGCAAACACAGCAGCCAATTTGCACACAGCAAGTTCACACAAACAGCCATGAGGTGATCAATTAATCTAAAGGTTTATTCGCCAGGATACCAACAGCATCTCCCTTCTCTTTTTCAAGAGCGTCAAAGGTCTTTGAAGCCGACTTGAACAGGTAAACAGAACTTCAAGTTAATACCTCATGCAAAGGACAGCACCTCCAACAATGTGTCACATTATTTTGCTCAGTGTGATAAGTATTATTGCATTGGTAGCCGTTCTCCTATAAAATAATCAATGCAATTCACAGTAAATCCTGTGAAGCATTTTGAGCCTTCTTCCTGACTTGAAAGGTGCTGGATCAAATGCAAGGATTATTATACCAACTGTGGGTTTTGTGCTTGTGCTGTGAACTTGTAACCAGCTTTGAACTGTGATATCACTGGACAGTCCTGCTAATAGGGCAGACTGCAAGTGCAGATAGCAAAGTGTTTGGAATTTTCCACTTTGATGGGGGTGAGCAAGGCCCTGAACTCACCTCGATCCTGTCCCATTGACGCCTGGTTCATGGAGGGGTGAAGGATTCCATCAGACTGACCACTTGGAGGTCGGGGAGGCATCTGGTTTCCTGCAGATATAGATCCAAAGTTAGTCAATTTGGAGTCTAGTTTGTCAGTTTTAACTGAGTCAAGTTGTCATTCTCCAAATCAAGCTCAACCATAACTCAACTCCCTGTACAGGCTGCAGAAACGACGAGCCCTGTGTGAGCACAACGCTGTTATGCTGAGTTTGTGCAGCAGATTTCACTCTGGCACAGGCTAGATTGGAAGGTCCATCTTTTACAAGTCAGTGACAGGCAGCCCCACCACAGAAGCTTAGAAGCAGTGCGACGAGTGATGCTCAGGTTCTGTTCCCCAGTCACGCTCCCTTCCCCCACTGCACTGACCAATGTGTTACTTCTGAAGGAAAACGCACGCGCTGAATGATGCTGGTGGTAGACACACAGACCCACCTGGTACAGCTGCTGGGGACAGTGGTCCTGAGCGCGACTGTGTGACACTGGCTGGTGATCCTACAGGAGAAGGCGAGGGACCGCGGATCCCAGGCAGATGTGGAGAGGTATGAGGAGAGAAGGGCGATTGCGCGGGGTTGCTTTGCTCCCCCTGACTGCTGGAGATTCCTGAAGTACTGGCTCCCGGGCTCAGCGGTCCTTCTGCCCCCGTAGGTAAATCATCAATAGAACCTGACAGATCCTACAAAGCCAGAAAGTGGATGTAGTTAGATAATGTTTCCCTTTCTCCTATAATGAAACTTAATGTAAAATACTGTTTTTTTTAAAAAACCTAATAAATCTGTACCTTCCCCCTCCCTTCTCCCCCCAAGTACTGCAAAATTAAATGTTAACATTAGAGAAGCAAAGCTACTGTAGGCATCATGTGGGGTGAGGCTCGTCAGCTGCTCAAAACACAAGCCACAGTTTCCTTATTAACGATAGGAAACGATGGCTTCAGTTATTGCACGCTTCTATATGTGCAGCAATTCCCCCGCCCTCAGCCAACACCTACACAATACACTGTCCTGCCACATGGTAATAACAATTTGCATTTATATAGTACTTAACGGCCCTACACAATACAAAATTAAACTGAGCAAAACATCACAGAAACTAAAATACAGTACTTTTAAACTGCACAAAATGGTGGTTTGAAACAACTGAAGAAAATGGCGTGGATAAACCAGCAGCCTCACAATGCAGCCTGGAGTTACTCTGCAGTCATAGCCCGGTGACTGTACCAAAACATTGGTTACAAATATATAAAGAGTTTAAAATTCTAACTGCCTTGCAACCCAACAGCAGAGGCAGTTTCAGATTGTACTATGTGCACACATACTCAAATTTTTGCTGATTATGTGACTAAATGACACACATACTTGCTGAAACTGATGTGAAAGCTTGAGTGATCAGTTGGGATATGAATTAATTACTGGGCCTGACACTGATGTGGTTGCAAGTAATCCATCCCATTGATATCGTCAAAATATCTAAATACTCATTTTGCCAATCCACGTCACTGATACAAAGCCTTTGCAGCTCGCATTCCCAGTGGCAGTGCAGTGCAGTGGCAGCCACAGGGAACGGAGGCTGGAGTGTCTGTCCGGGTGATGTCCTCACCCTGTCTGTCAGTTTTACATTTGCATTTGTAAACAATAACAGAGCAAGCTCCGAGTGTGTGCTCACTCACGTGCCCTCCATGTGCTTTCGATTTATTGCCCATCTGCCATTACCATCAAAATACTGGAATGGGTCCAAGGATTTCACACTAAATCTTGGACTCCTCGCTGGCTCTCTAACAAAGCCTGTGCTTTTCTTTGAAATGCTGCCCAGTTTTATTTTGGGCTCTGACCTCCTGAATGAGTGTTGATTACTATGTGCTGTGATTCACCAAAGCTGTATCAGGGCATGTATACCATGTCCTGTTGCACGTGTGAACTCCACTGCCTCCACATCTTGGCCTTGCTGCAGCATGAAGCCCAAACTCAGCAAATCACCTCATTTCCTTTCTGCCCCAGAGCAGAAACCACAACCCGAAGTGTTCCTGCACGCAGCACTATTCAGACCAGCTTGCTCACAATCCCACCCTGGTCTAGATCACTTGCCTTTAACACTATTATTTTCTCCACCTCCCCTCACCATGAAGTTGTAAGATGTGTGTTTAAGATGCCAGACTCTGTGCGGCTGAACCAAGTTCAGAATGTGTTCTTCAAATAAGATCCTATAACAGCAACAACAATGTGCATCTATACAGCGCCCTTCACGCAGAATAATTTCTCTGAACTTTTTGCAACGGGAGAAAGCTCAAGCTGGACACTGGCCGAATGTAGCAGAATGTTGGCAAGTACGTAATGCCACGCAGAGCAAGGTTCAGCTTATGCCCCTTTCAGATACTTTCCCATTCAATCCATTCTGGAATGATTCATGCTCCGCACTTGTAATTGGGAGCAGACATGCAACTTCTTCCAATTTAGGTCATCCTCACTCACAGTGAGCCCCCGTAAGATGATCGTCTCTCTTTCTCTTCCCCCCCCTCTCTCAGTGTGATGCCAGGCTTCTAACAGATGTTCACTGCATCCTCAGCTTAGCACACTGCTCAATCAGTGGCACCAAAAACTCTTCCATTTCTATTCGCTAACCTCACTCTCTGTATTAGTTTAATACATTTTCTCCTCACTTTGGGCATTAACACAAACGAGTTTGATCAATACATCCCTGCTCTCCAGAGTACCACCAGCTGTGGCAGCAGTGCCTTGGGTCACATGAGTAAATCCCACAACCGTCCCACGCTACTATCACATATCCATCCATTCAGTATTGTATTGGTACACACAGAGCAACATTTAAATCCATGCTCTCGTTAATCTAACTGCTCCGAGTATCTCAGTGTTAACAGCTGCTCACTTCCCATGTCCTGAAGGTACTTAGGCTACAGAATATTAGAAAAAAGGATGAAGTGCTTTACACTGAAAATACTCCTAATGTGCGAGATAATTTTTAACAACAACTTGCATTTATATAGCACCCTTTGTGCGGGAGCACTTAAAACCCCTTTAAATCAATTTAACTTTTATAGATATGATGAAAAGCGCACAGTAACACCAGAAGCCCGAGCTAGGACCAGGAGCTATCTGTCCGGTTGGCTGACAAACTGCAGGTTGTGTTCTCTGTCCACAATGTTTACATGCCATCTCCACGAGCCTCGCTGCACTCCTCCGAATCTCTTCAGCAAGAAATGGGTGTGCGTCCAGATAATATTCTGACTGTGTGGAAGACAGAATCAGTAACCCTGCTGACGACACTCATAGCTACTTCAACACAACCCTGCGGTGGACGATGACAAAATGTGAAACAGATTGGGCGCATTGAAGGGTTGGGATCTTCACTTCCCCCCTCTTTAAGCTTTGAGAAGTCTTACTATCAGATAGTGTAGATGCAATCAAGAGGAAGTTAGACCTTCTTGTGAAGGAGGGGAATGGGAGAGGGCTCGTATGGAGTATAAACACTGGCACGGACTAGTTGTGCTGAGTGACCTGTTTCTGTGCTCTAAGTTCTGTGTAAATCTTTGTACTCTCATTTCTATTTGTGGTTATGGCAGCAGATCTACTGATGCAGGAAATTCAGTCACTGCTGATGTTGCAACCCCCATTTTAGAATGAAGGGTTCCAACACTCCACCTTCCCCCTCGCTCTGCCTGAAATCCACACATCGTCTCTTTCAACTTAAACACAGTAGTAACCCTGTGACCAGGGAGGGGCAGGTCTGATAACAGCAGCTTGGCAGGCAGCTGGTTTTCTCCATCTCAGTCGGCTGTTTAGGGGTTAAAACAGAAAGGTGGCTGGCAACATCCAGCGAACGTTTCAGTCCACACTATAATTACACAGCGATCGCTCGCTCTGTCCCCAAGGCATGGGCTCATCAAGAGGGAGGGCTGAACTATTTAAAGCAGAGCGATTCAGAAGAACAATGGAGCATTCTGCCAGAGACAATGGGCGTCTCTGCAGGCCGCTGTGTGTAACAAGATCCCGAGCAGCGCTCCCTTCAACAACAGCCTCGCCAGTTGGTTGCAAGGGAAAGATGCTGAGGAATAAAACGACCAGGAGGCGTGCCACCTCTCTGTAATTAAACACTACATAATGAGGAATTATTCAAGCGGCTAGCGTTGACTTTCTCCAGTGTACTGCCTGCCTGACAGCAATATGGAGGGGTCCTGCTGCTCAGACAAGAGATTGCTACTGACCACAGAAGATTCACTGGACATGAATTTTAACCCCTAAAGAGTGTGCTTCTCCAGTTGCTCGGCGGTGGAAGGCGATTTGTGGAAGGAATAGCTCGGCCAGTTGTCACAAGAATAGCGTCTGTATGACATCACGGACCGTGCAGCAGCTGCACATGCAAATGAGACAGGCATGTGCAGTGACAAAAGGCACTTTCTGGCTTGCAAACCAGAAGATTTCAGCCTTTCAAAATGCCAAACGCAACATGAATGTGCATTAATATAGAGATTTCACAAGAGCCCACCTTGTGAGAAACCCCCACCCCCAAGGTGGTACCTCAGAGGTTGGAGTGCAGACAAGGCAATCCAGCTCTCTAGAGACTTTTATATCATTAAGAGATGGGAAGAGGGAAACAGCCTTGTTGTCCTATCTATCGTTCTTCACCTCAATCATTGGATGGAAGGTGAAGCTGACATGTGCTGCTGTGATGTGCTGAGTGGGTGACTGCAACTGAAGTCCTGGAGCCACGGTTTTGTCCAATATAAAATACAACTTCAAATTTACTAAGAAAGCTCCAGGGCCATTCAAATAACCAGAGTCTGAAACTGCAATGTATTTATCAGCTGAGCCCCATCCTTATTCAATGCACCTTAGCCAAGGGCTAAGCTGTTCTCAAATATCAGTCAACACCACTCCAAGCGTTATCCAGCAACCCACCTGCTTACCCGGCCCCAACCGCGAAATACAGAGAGCCTTCCCCTCATGGCATCCGCAATATCCCACAACATCACTAAACGACTGGAGCTAGAAGTGTGTGCAAGTACACACACCACACACAAACACATACAAAGGCTGGGTGTGGAGATGTAGGGTGTGTGCTTTTATGGAGCGCACTGTGCATGTGAGTGAGGTGAACTTTGAACAGATCAAGTGATGGAGACAAAAGTTACCAAGGACTGACTAAATGCTGCTGTTTTCCCTTGTAAGCAATCCATGGGGTTAAATTTCACATGTATACGGATGACACCCAACTCTCTCTCTGCCTCCAACCCCTTCTCCAGGACCATTGCTGTCCTGGTCGATTGTCTCACACATCAAATCCTGGATGAAAGCCAACTTTCTCCTGTTGAATGTTGACAAGGTGGCGGCTCTCCCCCCTGGCTCCAGTCAGCACCTCATCCACTATTCATGAATACACTCTCCACTTCACCAAACCAGTACAGAACCTTGGTGTCTTGTTTGACCCTGAACTGTTCTTTAAATCCCATATCTGTGCTACTTCCCGTTCTGCCTTCTCCCACCTCCGCAGCATTGCCTACCTAGTCGCGATGTCGCCTCTCTTCGATGCTTTCTTCGCATGTAGGCTTGACTAAGCTAACTTGCCTGACTTTCCAACTCTTCCCTCCACAACCTGCAGATTATTCAGAATTCTGAAGGTGTTATCCACTCCCACACTAAGCTCCGTGAGCCTATCACCCTGCAT